CACCACCCTCGTCGCGTCATCGCCACTCATTATCCAGTATGGCGGAGCCCGACACACGCCCTTTCCTCACGGCATTCTCGCCATGCCCCAGCGCGGCAGTTCCGAGCTCTGGCTCTACAAGCACGAGGATGGCAGTGACCCTTCGACCTTTACCAACAACAGCGTAGCTTCCTTTCCAGGCCACGACACTAACGCCCAAGTACGAGAATTTCTGTGGCGCACACGCGGCTCTACTGACCATGGCATTGACCATCGCGACTTTCAGCTGGTCTCGTGGGGGACTGACCGGCGTCTCCACTTACATAGCTTAGCACCAGAGAAGCTCGAAGAAGCCGTCGGCTACCGTAAAGGAGAGTCCTTTGCTCAAGAGTCCACTGGGACACGTAAAGGTGCAGCTTATGTCTCTTACCGCAATGGTCCAATACCCACTACTACCACAACCGTCCGAGATGAATTTGGTCCGCCTCGCCAGCAACGCAAAGGGAACCTGTCGACCCTCTTGCAAAACTCCCTCCACAACGATGAACTTCACACCTTGCGATATAAAGACCCAACGCATCCCCGTTTACACTCTGAAACCGTTCCGCGCGAGACCATGACTGCCCAGCCAATTCGTCGCAAAGACCCACGAGTTGTTAATCACATCACGTGGATTAACGGCGTCAAGTTTGGGGATTCGCGTCATACCAACGTCGACGACCAGACCCATCCCAAACAACACCATCGCACAGAAAAGCACCCTTATCAAGAGCAAAATGACTTGGGCTCTGAGATTTCACATGTTGGAAACAGATATAAGAAAATTACATTCGAGCAGATTGATGTACCCGGTCGCCGCATCAAAGTCTGTTTCAACGGTCCATGGGGTGACTACGACCCGACCACTGAGGACGCAAGACTTGCATTCCTTCGCTTTACCATCAAGTTTCCAACGGGATATCCAAAAGCCATTGAAAGTGTGCAGTCGGGAACTGTCGTTGCCAGAATACCGACCCCGTTGGAGATTGAGTTCGAGAAGACTACTGCATCCATTAGCCGAGAAAACCAAGAAGAGCTGATAAACAACATGCATCGCATTGCTGATACTTGTGCAAATCAGCAAAAGGAAGCACTAGAAGCGGTACTTTCCTATGCTCTGGGAGAGCGCGCATTAGATGACAGCCTGGACCTGGCCGATGATGATGATCCGTTAGAGGACCTTGGCCCCCTACCAGGAGAGAGCTCTAGTGAGGATGAGGACCATGAGGGCGAGTTTACTGACGACGTGATGCAATCTTCTCATACGAACGCCAATATCCCCCTTCCTATCCAGTGTACAGCTCGGTTCTCGGTAGATGGAACTCTAGTAGTTGCAAGAATACCCATAGTCAAGTCAGCGCCAGGCCCAGAGGCCTATAGACTTCAGATTACGAGAAGCCTTCGCCAGGGTGGTCTGAAGAATGATATATTCGACTCTTTCGGGCGCTTCACTTACCAACGTTCTGAAGGCTCTGATGACGGATCATCTCCAACTTCTTCCGACGGTTCGTGGGAAACATCTTCCTCTCCATCGTCTTCGTCCGACTCCGGCCATGCGCGAAACGCACACATTGGGAATTTTCAACCTCCTTTGGCCTGGCAGAAAGCTGCATCTCGATTCCAATCACGCAACTCGTTACCTTCTTCGAGTGGTTTACGAAAGCAATCGCCCAAGACCAGGTCCACGGTATCTATCCTGTATTCGGCAATAGATAGACTGGTCCCCAGCAAACGTGTCCTCGCGGAAGAATACCGTATTTTTGGTCCTGGGCCCACGATTTGTGAGCACAACGCAGAAGTAGCCCGGAAACATGGATTTGAGGACCTTGCGGATATCTGGATGCTTTGCAAGCTGATTTTGAGCGACGAGGTACCTCTGGAGATACTGCCTCAACAATATCGGCGGGATCAAGTACTTGTCCTCGCACGTCGAGCTCTCGTGAGGATCAAACGCAAGGATAGCGGACTAGATCTTCGGTTCGACGAGTCGGACAATGTGAGCAATCCTAAACTCAGGGCGCGGGTCAAGTGGGGCCACCACGTCGTTGTCACATGGTTGATACCCTCGCTCTTTGAACACTTCGAGCGACTCGCGGACACCCAAATGCTTGCTATGCTGTCTTGCATATTTGCGGAGCCTGCTGCTCGCGAGGGTGTGACGTCAGCCATGGCCAAAATGCGGCAGTCTCAGCTACCCATGTCCATGGAGGCGCCAGCTTTCTCACTGGATTACTTTCCTTCGGCAGATGCTGCGTGGAGTTTGTTCAAGCCTACAATATCTATTCCATCTACTCCTTCGCAAACACGATTTGCTGCACCAGTCACGGAGTTTGGCTGGCAGAGGCTGGCAAAGAATCATGACACTTACGGCAGCCACAGTAGTTCGAACGGGCCATGGGGTAGCGACACTGTCAATTCTGATCCGTTTACTCCATATTCTACTGGCAACACACCCCCAGTTTTGTCCAGGGCACCCACAGTGAGGACTGCACAGACCGCAAACCATACCCCGTACGGAACATCACCAGAGCACAGCCATGGAGCCCTCAAGAAAAGTTCAACTGCTAATTTTGCAAGTGCTGTTGCTGCACTGTCGCGCCCGTTTGCAAACGCCATTTCCTCGTCACCACCAGTCAGATCACGAATGGATGATCTTTCGACTTCTGCGCCAACTAGCGGAGTTACTTGGGGAACAACGACGTTCTATGGCAGTGACAGTCATGATCAGAACAACATGGCACCTTCGCGTTCGAAATATGGCAAGAGATCAAGTTTTGCACAGTCTGAGTATGCAAGCATCAACTATGTGGACGATTCCGATTCCGAGTACGAAAAGCTTGACGAGGATGGTGGCTACACCATGTCCGGCACGAGAGAGAATAGCATGCCTGGCACGCCTCGGGATGGCGAGGTTGGGCAAAGCGTCATCAAGGTTACGCTCAAGAATCAGGATCAATTCGATGATGAGGCTTGTTTCAGTCGGCCTCTACTAGATATGAGTAGAGACTGGTTGCATCGCGCATGGCGGGAGCAGTATGCTGAAATGCTCAGCCGATGGGAATTGGTCAGTGTTCGGGCAGAGGTACTCAAGTTTAATGGTCTTGTTTCCTACTTCCCAACCGAAGCTCATCGTACTGGCTCGAAGCCTGGCTCGGTTTCGCTCACACTCAAGCGATCTGGAGACGAAGAGGGAGATGGGAGAGCAGCTAGAAATCTGTCACAGGCTTCATCCACGTTGGTACCGCCAACACCCGTAGCAGCTCAGGTGAAGCGCTCGCCGGTTGCATCACCACGTCATTTTTCCTTCAACCCGGAAGCAACAGAGTTTCAACCCTCCACTTTGCCAAATGCCCTACTGGAAGAGTCGACGCCTGCTCAAGAAATTGCTCTTCCCACCGAACAGTACTTGCGCCTTTCCATCCCCGCCCTAACGCCTACGATAGAGCTAGATGAGAGCCTCGCAGGACTTGGTACATCACCCGGTCAGAATAAATTGCATCCTCCTCCGAGTAGAACAAGCAGACCTAGTTTGTCACGAGGAACATCCAATGTTTCCGGTGCCTCGTCATGGCGGGACAGCCGTCCGCGTTCAACGCCGAATGCACCTCCTAAGCCTATCAAGTCAGAAGCTATCTACAGCTGCAGTATCTGTTGGATACGCGTCTCAGGTCTCTTCTATCTCTGTCCCGCCTGCGGTCACGTTGCACATTTTGGCTGTATGGACGAGGAAATTGGCGCGGATGATGGCGACTGCGTAGTTGGTTGTGGTTGTGGTTGTGGCCTCGAAGACGATGACGACCGCAGCCGAATGGAGGCGTTCATTGAAGGAGTGCGTGCTGCTACTGCTGCGGGCCTCGCTTGGGAAGAAGGCATTGAGTGGCAGCACAGCGGAGCGAGTACTCCAGCCATGTACTCAGAGAGTGGCTATGGTGATTTGGTGACGGGTGGTGGAAGCAAAGTGGCTGGTAGTGGAGACGAGAAGAGAAGGGACAGGTTGGGGGTACGCAGTGCTATGGTGAGCCCGACGCCGACGAAGACCAAGAAGAAGGGGAAGAGGAAGGTCAGAGCTTCGGGGTTGAGCTACTACTAATGCAACAGGTAGTAGACGCTGAGCGATGAGTTAAAACGATGAAGACGCTTGTATGATTACAGCAAGAAGAAGGCCAAGATAGGCTAGTGATGTAGCTTATTTTCCGACATGCGCTGCCAACACATTTCGTTGGGTGGCATTTTCTACCGAGCCGCAAAGCTTGGATTAGCATAACCTATCATAGTGCCCAATAGACAGCGAACCAAGTCATAGAATGTAGTAGGCGACTCGGTGACACAAAAACGCCAAGCCCCAAGATATGGAGCGATGGCGGGACTTGTAGCATTGAGAATAAGGGCCGGCATGGCGCGGATCTGGGCCGGCCATGCCGGTATGCTTGGATAGGATCACATCAGGCCATGTCTAAGTATACTTATGTATGGGGGCGGGTAGGTGGCCTAGCGAGCGAGTGATTGAGAGAAGCGAGCGCAGGCCTTGTTGTGAGGATGAAACGTGTACGGTAATGTGGAAAATGCAGCCCTACGGCGAGGGCTATACTTGCATGTGATAAGCATGCAGACTCTACTTATTGCGGATTGAGCAGCAAAGGGCTGTCGATCTTTTCGGCGGAATGTTTGACGGCTCCGTATCGCTCCCGTAACAAGGCTGAGCGGTTGGTGGAGCGGTTCACGGGTCGACGGGTGACAAGCCAGGGTTGGATGGCGCAGATCCGGATTCCGGACGCGCTACTGGGCACGTACGTCGGAAGCAACTACGGCTAATTCCAGATGGTCTTGCAGTTGCACATGTTCCTGGACTCGAAGTGCCATCTGCACGTAACCGAGTACAGAGGTTGAATGAGGCAATCGGCGACTATGCAGGGTCTTCCCGTTGAGCATGGGATGCACCATGATGCTTCGAGCCTGAGCAGCTGTCGTAGTACCCCACGGCTTGCCGAGCGAGGGCAGAGGGTGTGAGGCAACCCTTTGCGCTAAGAAGTAGCCGCGCATTTCCCCCAGCTTCTTCTCCACTTTAGATAGCGTGTCCCTCATTGCTTATCTGACAAACCTCTTGTTCGTCTCGCCCTTGTCTTTGCACTGCTGGCCAGTTGTATCAACGGCTCCGCAAGAGTTGGCGTGGGATACCCGCGTGTCCATCACTCGCTGACATGGCAGCGGCCACGGTTCCATCGCCCGCGCTGCTAAGTACGCCAACAGCCCCAGTCGACGTCAAGCACGCGAACAAGACAACGGCTACTCCACTTTCAGCGAGCAAGACTGCCCCCAAGGCCTCGGAGACGTCTGGCGTCACCAAAAGGAAGCAGTCGAAAAGTCGAAATGGTATGCGTCCTCCGCTAAACGCTTGTCACCTGCAAAATGGGTTGCGCGCTAGGCGTCTCCGACGATGCACCATACTGATATCTCCGCACAGGCTGTGTCACCTGCAAAGGAAAACGTCTGAAATGCGACGAGAAGAAACCCACCTGTGATCAATGTGCCAGACGAACGGTAGTGTGTGGCGGCTACAAGAAAGATTTCAAATGGAGACCGTTTGAAGAGCCCAATATATCCGGGAAGCAGCCGCCTGCGAAATCAAGAAAACGTGAGTACATGTATACTTGGAATCATACAAATGCATATCTAACGGATACAGTTTCTTTCTCACAAGTACCGACGCCATCGCCTTCACAGCCACAGGACCACTTCGGCCTCCATGACAAGCCACATGGCTTCGTCAGTACACCCCACGGTGCATACTATCCACCGCCGAATCACTCTCATCAATTCTCATCTGCCTCATATGTGCAAATGAGTTATCCGCAGTCTTCATTCCCATCTACAGAAAACGCCTTCAGCATTCCTGAATCACCATACATCATCACTCCTCAATCCATATCATCAGTTGGATCCTACCCACCCGCGCCGTCCGAGTCGCTCGGTGGATTTGCTGCTGAGAGCACAGGTGCCAAGGGAGCCGTACATGCTACAGATTCAACCATCTCATCTGGTCAGTCACCCAAACTGGTCGACCTTCTCAATCCAGGCACAGATCTTAGCAAGACACCCGAAGAGTACGACTCTTTCATAACTCAACACGAATCCTTCTACCAGCCTACTGGCTTGACACCACCAGCCCAAGCAAATGACGAGGACGACATCGAAGAGCTACAACGAGATTCTGCCAAGGACCAGGAGTCATGGGTTATGCGCTTACCATCTCCTGCGTCTTCCAACTCATCTAGCTCTTCGTCCGACTCCCCACAGCTGAAGATCCCTGCCCAGATACAGATTTCTTATACCTCAGCCGAGTCTCTCACACGACGCTACGATAGAGAAACATGTGGTGTACTATCGGTAAAGGATGGCCCTACAGAGAACCCATGGAGGACTCTGGTTTGGCCTCTCTCAAGAGATTGTCCTGCCCTCTTCCACGCAATTGCCTCGATGACGTCGTTTCATCTGTCCAAGGACACACCGACTTTACGGATACAAGGCATTGATCACATGCGGAACGCGGTACATGCCCTGGCCGCAGGCCTGCAGAATATGCGCGTTGATGCCGCCATCTCAACAACACTCGTACTGGCCTTTGCCGAATCATGGGACCAGCACATCAGTACTGGTATTAATCATATCAAAGGCGCCAAGATACTGATTAACCAGGCGTTGATACAGCACCAGCATACGCCAATGCAGGGTGAGGAGTGGACTCGCCTGAAGTTCCTATGTAACACCTGGATCTACATGGATGTCCTCGCCCGTCTGACCTCGGCTGATGAAGATGAGACATATGATGTCGATTCTGTGCAAGAAAAGATATATGCTACTGGCGAGACTGATAGTGCTCTTGATCCCTTGATGGGCTGTGCGCATACGCTTTTCCCCATCATCGGCCGTGTAGCAAATCTTGTCAGAAAAGTGCGGAGATCGGACAGCAACGGTCCTATCATCATATCGCAAGCAGTACATCTGAAATCCCAACTCGAAGGGTGGACGCCACCTTCCTTCATCGAAGACCCAGAAGATGAAACGACAAGCCCGCATGATACGATCAAGACTGCTGTCGCTTATCAGTACGCCACATTACTGTATCTGTACCAAGCCGTTCCAGAGATTGGATCCCAATCATCCAGAGCGTTGGCAAGGAAGGTGCTATGCGATCTAGCCACTGTGGCTCCAAGCTCTCGTGCAATCATCGTACACATCTATCCTCTGATGGCAGCCGGTTGTGAGGCGACAGATCACGACGAACGTGAGTGGGTGAAAGAGCGTTGGAGCTTGATGTCGGCGCGCATGAAACTGGGTATCATAGAAAGATGCTTGGAAGTCACAAAAGAAGTCTGGAATCGACGCGACGCACATGAAACGGAGCGCATGAATAATCAGATGAACAGTATGCGTAGCGAAAGCTTTTCTTCGGATGCATCCATCAACCATGATTTTGGCACCTATCCGGAAGACTTCGGAATGGACGGAGAGTTTCACTGGCAGGAATCTCCAAAATGGGAACCGGCGTCAATCAGTAAAACAGTCTCTTCAGACCCAGATGTCACAGTCAAAAGTCGGCTCCACTGGTTGGGCGTCATGAAGGACTGGAATTGGGAAATCCTTCTTGGATGAATTAGCAAATTTTTGTTAAGCCATATTGAAATATCCCTTGGAAGCCTGACCGCGAAGCTCCAGCGCCATCTTCCCGTCTCTGTCTGGCACAGTTAGCGCCTACATCGACATTTGCGCACATTACCCAGCATTCCACAACACGACCACAACCTTGGGTGCAACTTCTTTCATCATTCACGATACGAACATCTATTATTCTGTTTTGGGCAGCGGCGTTGGGAGTGATAGGAAGACGTACTCGCTTCTGGAACGACAAGGGCCCGAGACGGGCAATGGAAATCATCCAAATACCTTGCAACAGACCAAATCCAGACTGCTGGGTCTTACGAGCTGGTCATTGCGCCATGTTGTCTGGCACCACCCAGTATATTACTCGATACAGATTGGACTTATCTCGATCGGCATTCACTTAGACAAAGCCAATATGTTGTAATCAATTCTAACTCAAATTCGCAGCCTCTTTCTCACAGCATCTCTATCGGAAATCTGCTATTGACGGTTCCTCGCTGGACTGATTCATGTTGTTGCACCGTTGAAATACATGCGTCACTTGAGCGGCTAGATTCCAACGTGCCCGCACGACGTACACAGCATTCTGGCCCTCGAGATGGCGTAAAAGCTTGCGGAACACATCAGTTGAAACCACGATGGTCATTGCTGCTGTGGCAGCACTAAAGGGCCTAGATGTCTAAACCCCTACGGTGCTTGTCAGATCTCAGCCACCGAGTACAGTACCAGCTGTCAGAAGCAGCCAACCCCCGTGGGTTACTGGGATCTGTAAAACACGTGATCAGATCTTTACGCATCGATCGTCCGATTTCTGCATGACAAAGAGTGCAGATCGCAGCCACGGTTGCTCGAGGATGCCAAGTTTGTGCGTTATCACATCCTACCGTACAGTCTTGCCATTGCGTTGGCATGAAAAGTCATCATATGCCTCGCAATGGCATCCAAAAGCAGCTAGTCATCTGCAGATACCCGTCATAGAAGGGGGGCATACGTAAGCAACGATCTTCCATAGTCCCGCTACGTTGTTGTACTGGAGCATGCAACAAGGCTCGGTTCTCGTAGCCTATCGTACGAACTGGTCACGCACGTTCGGAGTAGCTCGTATAGGTAATACGCCTATCGTTTTTCGGCGGTCTCGCTTGACTGCCGCGCGAGGACCGAGTGCCAGGCTACAGGTATGACAAATCAACGGACTGTCACTACTGTCATGCACGACCAGTGAATATACCTGGAACAGTTCATTCCCCGAAGCTACCAAGGCAAGTAACATTGGTTGGTCCCCGGTAATTTCCCCAGTTTTATTGCATGTCACTCTTGTGGGGGCGAGATAAAAACGGGAAATCCCCAGCACCTATCCGTTTGTTCAAATGCATCAGCACTTTCCTTTTTGGAGGGAAACTGCATGATTCTAGCAGGTGGAGTGGCACACATACACACGTATATGACTCTCGGTACGTTGTCCGAATAGTGGAGAAAGAACGGGTAGTTGCATAAACGGCCCCCATTCCCTTGACCGTTTACCGATGTATGCAGGGACTTTTGCTTTGAGACGAGGGTAGTGCTGGATCGAGGCTTTTTCGTTATTACACAAAATGGGGAATAGACAGACGCCTGGCGTATTGCTTGATGTCGGATAGGGAGCATGCATGCATCCCCGTTTGCCACGATCTTGACTCATGTGGTTTCACAGATTGGGGGATTGCGCGATGATACATGTACGGCAGATCTTGAAACTTGATGACTTGCTTGGCATATAGGTGTGTGGTGCACAAGAGTTTATTGGTATCTACTTACCGGGACTAGGTGGTGACGTAGGGCTTGCGGGGGGTGAAAAGGGTGAATATGAAAAGGAGAGCAGGAAGGGCTGGTTCAGATGTGAGTACCTAAGCGTGGCTTCCGTGCATACATGTCTTACTAAAGAGCCACTAGGAAAGTCATTTGTCACGAGAATACGTTGTTTAATTTTGTTGCACAAGAACACTAGATTATGAAGAGAAGCATATTGTAAACACATGACAATGCTATCATACCACACCAAATCGCATCAATTACAGACGTGATCAACTAGAGAACCAACCGAATCCATCTAAAAATACAACCTCAAAGACACTTCCAAAAGACTCACACATCCCTCCCCTCAACCCTCAACCTCATCCTCCTCTCTTCCTTCTTCGCCCTCCTCACTATCCCTACCCCCACACTCCGCACCCACTCCAGCCCCTGAATCCCCTCCAACGCCCGCATAATCCTCTCATACACCCCAACCTCCCCCTCCAACACCTCAATCCGCTCGTCTCTCGCCCTAATCGCTTCCGCACACTCAGCCTCCACCTCTTTCCTCACATCAACAAGTGCCTGTCTATGCGTCTCCCGCTCTCTGTTAAAATCAAGTTTTATATCTAAAACGGACATACGGTGTTCCATTCTAAGTTGGTGGAGCTGCCTTTCGCGATTGTAGTCGCGGGCTTGGATGTCGCGCTTATGCTGTGAGCGGGTGTGATAGTACTTGCTGGATAGATTATCGTGTTGGTGACGGAGTTGCCGCATTTGCTCTCTTTGGCCGCGATATTGGGAGCGAATGGAGACTAAGGAGGTCATAAGCTGGCTATTGATGTCGAAGAGCGTGCCGATGACTAATTTAGAGGTGGTGGTGTCTTTTGGTGAAGGGGAAGAGGGTACGAGGGCGTTATCATTACGTTCTGGGAGTTGAGTGGGGGCACGGAAGCGGAACAGGTTGCGGAAGAATTTGTTGACTTGGGAGCTGGGAGAGGATGTGGGAGGTTCCATGGGTGAATAGATTGGGTTGGGATTGAAATGGAGAATTTGCACGGCTTTTGGACTTTGTGTACCTGGGTATCTGTGCAATGATGTTCAATACAGCGGAAAGATGACATAGATATACTATGAGCTTAAACATTTAGCAAATAACATGGAACATGGTTTCCTCACATGGAGGTAAGAGCTAAGACATTGCTGGAGGCTAGGAGGCAACGCGTAAAGCGAAGTTTGCGTGGGGTTGGAGTCTGAAAAACTGTGCAAGACATCAAGTTTGCTTCATCTGGAGAAACAGGGTGGATTGGTGGAGTGAAAAGCAGAATGTCTAGGTATGTGACGTAGAATGAGGTGAAAGAAGAATATCTTGGGTATTCATGCGATTGTATGCCAGCTATCTTGCTGTACTCTCCTGATCTATACACCATTGTTCTTTCGTCTTGTTCCGCAGAACATGCTCATGAACCCTTCTGCACTAGGTCTATGACTTGTTGTTCAATGGCCTTGTCGTCCAGTCCCTTGAGCGCTAGCTTCCGCTCCTTGCCAAAGTCTGTCCAAACCATTAGTATTTAAACTCCTGTGTCTCATCATCCTCTTGTAACGCACCGAATCGCGCATATACCGTGGGCTCGGTGCCGCTGGCTTCTCGGATCATGATGGGAAGGGATGGGTTGGCCTTCTTCATTGTGGGGTAGGTTCGCGTGAGGAAATTCCTGCGCATGAAATTAGCCCAGAATTCTCAAATATGCATCCCCCCGCTCTTGCGTTGCGCATCGCATCCGCAATCGTGTATCCTCCCACTTGGTTGTCGCATACCGTGTCGCAGCGCTGTGCTCGCTAGTCTGGCAGAACAAGAAGCGCAGCTCCTTCAATCCGTTTCCGAAAGCTTTGGACGCCATTGTTGAGGGCCTGAAGTAATCGTGTTTCGGGGGTCAATTCGTCGTCTCTGTCGTCACCTTCCGCCGACGACCTTGAGCGTTCGTCAAGCTCCCAAAAGTCGCGCCTTACCGCAAACAGCCTAACCCCACCGGAGCCAATTCATCGTAATCCCGGATTTATCAACAAGCTCGTGTGTCCGACATCGCGACCGCAACAACGTCAATTCTCAAGGACTCGCGAGCAATTCCGGTTCTCGACGCCAATTTCCCTGGATTGCCAAAGCCACGAGCGTTGTCAAGAAATACATAGCCATCATGTCGTTCCGCCCGGGATCCCGCATCTTCAGCACCTTCCGACCCTTCTTCCAGCGCGCAAATGCCCGCCGCGGCGTCAACACGGCTGCAGGCGCTGCTGAACCAGCTGGCTTTGCAAAGTTCTGGAACAGCCCCATTGGGCCCAAGACGGTGCATTTCTGGTACGCAATTTCCCCTTCTCAAGTGCTCGTTCAATCCAAGCCGGCGCATCTCCCCGCAATGTCCGAAGCGCATACATTTTGGCATTCGGACGAAGCTGGAGAACTACATAGTCAGGAAAAAATGCTAACAAACTCAACAGGGCACCAGTAATGAAATGGGGCATGGTCCTCGCCGGCGCCTCCGACTTCACCCGTCCCGCCGAATCCCTCTCCTTCACCCAAAACTTTGCTCTCATGTGCACAGGCGCCATCTGGACACGCTGGTGCTTCGTCATCCGCCCTAAGAACATTGCTCTGGCCGCTGTCAACTCGCTCGTCTTCTGCGTCGGTGCCACTCAAGTCGGTCGCATTTACATGTACAACCAGAGCTTGAAGGAAACCGAGGGCCAGGCCAAGGGCGAAATGCAGGACGTGAAGCGCACGGCTGAGAAGGCTGAGCAGAAGGCAGAGAAGGCTCTGAAATAAATTTGATGAGCTGGATAAGAGATGGGGAGGGAAGGGGTATGTATATCTACGCTGGAATGTGTACTAGCAGATACCCTAGTTCTGTATTTCGGGGCAGTCCTGTTCATGGTCAGAATATTGAAATCATAAATACCATAACGAACCCTACATGTACACTTTTGACTCATCACATGGGACCATGATGGACCAAAACGGGACGGGCTCGCAGTGAAGATGATATTACCAATATACTAAAGTTTCAACCTCACAACCAACCGCAAAACCCCTCCTCCTTTCTTTCTGTCCTTATACCCTTGACGTGCACACTACATACGTCACAAGGCATCCGTCTAATGCTCAGTGCGTCTAGACATTCCACACCCACATGACTTGAACCACTTCATCCCCTTTCTCATCGCCAGCTTCATATTCTTCTAGAACGGTACCGTAAATCGATATTGACGGTCTTTGGTGGGCCCACCGCTATTCCTTCCTGCGTTTGATCGATCCCTAGTCCCCTCCCGAGTCGGCGGCACTTGCATTGGCTGGTTGCGGAGATTGTAATTCGCGGGGTGTGAGGGGCGTGGGACGTAGCTAAAATAGTCCATGGCGATTGATATGTATGTCTGGTTTCGGTGGTTGAATGATGTTGAACGGAGGGGTTCGTTCGAGTGTTGTATTGTTGGTTGGTTTTGGGTTGAGAGGGAAGTGATGGAAGTGCTGTCTTTTTTTGTTGGACGTTTGATACTTGTATGGGTAACGGGTGACGGGATTGTTGAAGTAGTAATGGCAGCTCGGTGGGTAGTGAGCTTGGTGGTGGTATGGAAGACGTTGAAGATGTGGAAAATACAACGACTGTGAGGTTTATAAGGAAACTGTTATGGGGTTGTCCTTTGGTAACGGAAGGAGCACTTTTCGTCGCTTTTTTTTTACAGAAAGGAAGTCTCATCCATTGCGCCAGAAACATTATCGAATATCTCGTAATAAACCAGCCAGCAGTATCCAACTTAAAGCCATGATTTTTCGCCTCCGAAACCCCCAATCCCGTAGACCTGACATAAAGCACCAATCCCAAACCCCACCCATCCCACTCCACCCTCCTATCCCCACCAACACCCACATTACGTACAACACGCCGTACACGAATTGATACACTCAGCACAATCACACCCACTACAACACTCGCCACAGCTTGCACAACACTCGCCACAGCCCTCCCACATACTAAAACAACACTCCATGATAGCCTGGATGCAAAACGGCATGGCGAGTGTGCAATTCAGGTTCATGAGACAGCGGGAGCAGTTTCCTATGGGCTCGGCCGTGGCGGCCGAGGGCTTGTAGTCGCTTTCTTGTTGGTCTTCTTCGCCGGTGTTCATGGGTGTGTATGACATTGTTGATGCCATTTTGGGTGGTGGATATGGGGTTTATTTGATGGTGTTGATGTTGATGTTGGTATTTCGTAGTTGGGTGGCTGGTGTTGAAGTAGGGGGTAGTGTGTCGGTATCCAATATCCAGGTAGGGTATGTATGATCCTCGTATCCGGGTTTTTGTCTTGGAGAGAATACGAGGGTATAACACGTGGGAAACTTGTCACCGTTATTGTCGCTTAATGTCGCGTACTGATGTCGTTTTTTTACCAAGAAAGGTGACTTAGGGGTCTTCGCGCTATAAAAGCATCAACGCGTGACTCGCTTAACGTCAAGGCCACCCATCATGCCCACCACCATTTGCACAGCCCGTCAGTCTACCAGCCTAGCGCAATGTGGCTATCGTATTGCTGGAAGAGAGAAATTGAGGATGATTTCAGGCGCGCCAAATTCAGCTTGCTTGGCATGTGACTCGCTTGACGTTCGGGAGTTGAGCTGAAGGACATTGCGTTGTTTAGGCGAGTGTGGCTAAATAAGATCATTAAGTGGACCGACGAACAATGAAACATAAGTCAGTGACTAGTTGACATCAACATGGACGATATAAATACTAGTCACATCCTGGGTGGCGAAAACGGAACAGCAATGCAATGGCCAAAACCTGGAACGAAGCATATATAATTGATTCATGATGTGGGGTATCTTGTATGCGCGCCCGCCGTGCAGACATTGACATTATTAGAAAGTAAAAGGGGATCAAGGCATTCGATGCCGCTCGAAATAAACATTGGTAATGGAAAATGAGAAAAAACATCGTGTCAATCTAGAAAAGGATACCCAGACGCCTTTCCCTCGATGCTGGCAATCTTAAGCCTCGTAACATCATTCCTTTCGTAAAGGAGCTGCAAACGCGATTATGCCAGCGCGCATCATCACAGCTATGTCGGACTGACATGAACTCATACGCGGATGACAATGTTGATCCCTAGACCTCGAGCCTCGCGGATAGAACAGCCTAAGCATGTGCGCTCAACGCGACTGATGATGGCATGAAGTCCGTTCTCAGCACACCAAGCTCGTGCGAGCAACTCAAGATCTGGTGAAGACCGAGCGTCTAGCACAAGCACCGCCTTCTTGTTGTTCTTGATCGTTTCCTCATCGCTATCCTTGCTATTGGACAGCCTAAGCAAACGTTCCGAAGACTTGGATGTGTGTAGCGCAAACGGAAGTACAAATTTAGGATCCAGGACGTCGGTGACTGGCACAACCTGATGCGAATAGGAACTGTGTAGGGGATGTATGTTCATGGGCTTGCTTATTGTCGCAAGTGCGTCGGCCTCCGTCTCTGGCGGATCGTACATGCGCTTTGGGGTAAGGTCCTCAGCATCAGGGGGATGAGATAGCAGTGGCTCGAAACCATGGCTGTTTCGGCGTGACATTGTGTGTTTTGATGAAGATCTCGACAGTGTCCCAGTGACTGAACGTCTCATGACTTTAGGTCGGTGCCCGAGTTGGGAAAGCGCAGAAGCAGGTGTAGTACACGGCCAAGATGTAACGAACTGGACATCGTAGGTAAGCGTGATGGTGTGATTAGTCGCTGCATCGCCTAGGATAAACGTCATAGATGGAGCATGGACGTCGCTTTCGGTCTGTGGCCCAGACCAGTTGTCTCCATCGATGAGGTCCACGTTCATCGGAACGAGCTCCCATTGGGAAAAGGCAAGAGAAGAGGTTGGTATCGGGTCGAGGTCTCGAGGTAGCACAAAGTCCTCTGACTTGACGGTGTCCAAAGCATATCCAGGAACAATAGCTGAGTCCTGAGTGACCAGATCAGAGCCGTCTCTTACTCGCAACCGGTTGGTGTTTGAAAGAACCTCGCTGTGGATCGAATACCATCGCTCGCCGCCGTTTTCCGGTAGCTTTGGACAGGATACCCACCCCATGCACTCTGTAGAGCCCTTGACACAGGCCAGGGTCCGGCCAACGACAGAGTTCCTGCTCCAGAATGTTCTGCCGCCGAAGGTAAAGCCACCGTACAGATTAGCAGAGTCGCCAAGATTTGCAATTGCAGTGCTATCGTTCTCAAGTAGCGTGGACATGAGAAAATGCGAGATGGCTTCTCCAGGTAGCACAAGTCCGGCCAGGTATGATCGACTAAGCCATCCACCAACGTTGTTCAGACTGGATTTTGACTTTGTTTCCGGAAGCGTCGCCATCGGGGATAAGGGCATACGCAGAGCACGAGAGTTGTTGCGATGAAGAGAGGGCTTCCCGACATGTCCAAAGTAGCTGTCTAACTGATGTCCAGCCGGGAGTGGTGTTTCCAGCGGCGTTCCGTACACACTGATTCCAGAAGGAGTGTTTGAGTCAAACGGCCTTATACTAGGCGAGGACGGAGTGTTACCTTCCGTGGAGTCGTCTTGTGCTCCCAGTTTACGGGCTAGATCGGTCGAAACGACGTCAATATTAGGCCACTGTATAGTGTTTGCGAAGTGAAGCAGCCCTGAGAATTGCCGTGCCTGATGCTGTGGGAGCAGGATGAGGTCCGATTGTGGCAGTCCAGGGTGAATGCCCTGCGCCAACAGTGATAAGAAACCGCGAGACCTTGGTTGCGGCGATTCTTGTATATCGCTGCCTCTCATGATGAGAATGTTGTCCAAGAACCTCCGTGCCAGGATCAGATCCCAGTCGATCTTGGTGGTCTTCATCTGGAGAACTGCTTCCATGTCCTTGGGATTGATTTGCTGTCGCAGACCGGCATTGGACGCGTCGGCGTTTGTGAAGGCATCGAGTCGAAGTAGGAGCTCACAGGCGAGGGTAATCTGTAGCAGCAGTATCTCCCGCTCGGCCCACAGGGGTCGTGACTCGAAGTCGGAGGTGGGCTCAGGCTCGTTCCACAGAATCTGTCCCAGTCTGATCCTCCATTCGACAAGACTGAAGTCATACCAGACGCCTTCCAATGCCAGAACCCTGAGCAGTGCCGCGATTTGTGTTTGTAGTCCTGTAGGGTCTTCGGTGGAATCGTCATAGCCGGGAGGAGTGAGAAATTTGGTGAACAAGTTCGCATAGAGATCTCCAGAGCTTTGGTTGTTGAGGATAGTCATTGGCTCGGGACTGTCGTGGAAGGTTTCGTAAAGATCCTGGAACTCGAGCAAGCGGTCGTAGATGAGGCCTAGTTCGACTGGACGTATGCCTAGGCGCTCGGGGTTCGCCTGCATAACGTCTTTGTTTGTGCTCGTGCTGAGATAACCATTGCCTGACTGAGACTGTTCTGACGCGTTGACAAGGACGTCGGAATTGGGCAATTCTAGGAAATGCGAGAAGCCAATGGTGCCTGCCTCGATACCCTGTGCGCCAAGCATGTTGGGCAGTTCCACGACGTCCACTCCGTAGCCATTGTATTGTTTTGAGGCTCCCGGGACCTGCTCGGTCTTGGGCAGATGCTTCTGCAGGGTCGCAGCTGAGAAGGCGGGCTCGGCCAGTGGTGCTGAGTCGGTGGCATGCTTGGTGGTGGGCTCAGTGTTCCAGGGATATGCAACGGTGGGTGTGGAGCGACTGTCGGTCTTTGTGAGGCCAAAGCGCGGGGCTCCAGCGAAGAGGGAGCGCAGTTGACTCTCACTGAGGGGCTCGGCCTTTTCTTCTACCGTCTCTTGGGGCGGCGGTGTCACTACACGCTCCTGCTTCCCCTCCTTGACGGAAGGCATCCTGCCATGCTGGACTGGACTGGCCACTGGCTCTGGAGCGGATATGGAAGATATGGCGGGGACCTGGCGTGACAGTGGTTGCGAGTCCTTGGACAGTGTCTGTGTGCCGAAGTTTGGCATTAGCGCTGGCCTGTTGAGGCTGTAGTGATTGTATAACCACGGAACGAGGGGACAGGCCAACGTACAGACACCTCATGCGGCTGCTTCTGCTTCCATGCAGTGAAGAAGCGCAGCACACGCTGCCTCTTGCTCCTCTTCCTCTCCAGCTTTCCCACGTTCTCGTCAACCATGTCGTTATGCAGTCTTTGAAGCATGCTGGCGGCCTGCAGCTGGGCACAAGTAGCGGCGCATACTGGCGGACATATAAGGGTTTAAGGGGAACGTCAACAAAGCTCGCCAGTCGCCAGCCTAGGCGCAACACAGGGCTGCACAAGCACGTCAAGCATAGCGGAATCCCTGCTTGGTTGACAGGCGACAGGCGCACTGCGCAGTTGGCCTCGACTTGTGGGTAAAGGTGCTTGGTCCCTGTCCCGCATCAGTGGGCGATCAGAAGATGACGTCCAGCGTATCGCGACGCGGCGCAGGGTCCAGTCTGAACATGCCAGTCGGTAGCTGCAGCAGTTGGACCACCAACCTGCCTGCATCCACACCAAACAGCGCGTCTACATCCAAACCCTCCAAGAAACCAACAAACTCAATCAACCCAAACAAGGACGACCCTCGCGTTCACCGTCTTCACAAAAAGCCGTTGCTATTGACACGCTAATTCGGTCCGCTCGCCTCCAGAGTCCACACTGTGTGCCATGCCAAGCTTCTAGAACGTGACACTCCATTTCCGCTTCAAGCTCCTTCCCGCCTGCCGAACCTTGATCCTACCCACCAGCCACGTACTGTCAGACTCCATCCAACATGTTCAAAACAACTTGATCAAACTCAAGGCTGCCCGGATTTTCCTTCTTGGCCAACATAAGAAATGACGGCACAGATGGACCTTGAAACATGGCTCAGCACGTGCCGCTTTCTCAATTTCCTTCCCCGGACTCCGATTCACTCCATCAGCCGTGACCTTGCTCGGGCGAATACATGTCAATTGGCCAATTTCTCCTTAGTTTATTTCTGTTGTGAAGCTTTCTTAGAATAGTTTAGGCCATGTCTATTCTTCTCTACTCACCGTGACGATACTCTGCAAGTTATTGCCATCCTTCTCTACCTCTTCTTCCAATTCCACTTCTCTTATTTTCCTGCTTTCATCTTAATATCACAGCCTTCGTCTGATTACTAAAATCATGGTTGCCAGTTCGCACCCTCGCCAATCGCGACCCTCTCGCTTTCACTTGCACTATGACCCCGCATCATGCACTGGTTACACACGCTGCACTTTTCCGTTTGCTACCCGCGCACTACCTTTTTTTCCTCACCCAAACAGCACAATACCAAAGAAACCACTCCGCAGCAAAGCACCTGCAACATCAACATCACCATGGGCTTTTTCAACAATGCGTGGAAAGCTCTCGACGGCTTTGGTCAGGAAGCGGGAAAGCATGTCGGACCTGCACTGGGAGAAACTTGGAAACACTTGGATGCCTTCGGTCAAGAAGCGGGAAAGCATGTCGGCCCTGCCGTAGGCGAAGCGTGGAAGCATATGGATGCCTTTGGCCATGAAGTCGGTAAACACGTTGGCGGCGCTGCGCACGAGGCCTGGAAGAATGCCGACGCCTTTGGTCACGAAGCGGGAAAGCACGTTGGTACCGCGGCAGTACGTGGCAAGAAATGGGTCGAAGAACATCCCAAAGAGACAGTCGGTGTCGTGGGGTGTGTGCTTGCTGCACCTGTCGGGATTGCGGTTGCGAGGGGAATGTTAGGCATGGCTGGGTTCACTGCTACAGGAGTTGCTGCTGGTATGCTACCTCCCCTCTTGAATACAATGCCTAGGTGTCTTGGACTGACATGAACTCTAGGATCCGCCGCTGCCGCAGCGCAAGCTGGCATCGGCAACGCCGCGGCTGGAAGTGCTTTTGCTATCCTGCAGAGCGCTGGTGCTGGGGGTGCAGGTGCTCTACTTGTCAATGGTGTTGCTGCTGGTACGGCCACAGCGGCAGCCGTTGCGGCTACTGCTCCTGGACTTATCAAGGCTATCAAGGAGGACATGAAGGCTATCGAGGAAGACCAGCAGGAAACCACCGTTGACAACATCGCATGCAAGCATGAAGACGAGGAAGAGGAGGGACATGCAACTGAAAAGGGAGAGGACGGTTCTACATCTGAGGAGGAGAAAGTTCCTGCAACTGAGAAGGAGTAACTCCGCACTCATCTCGTCATGATGTGCTTTCAGGCGTGCGAGCAACTATGCTGCACTGCTAAAACCGATGTATATTCAGAGTAAACACTCCAGATAATACAAAATCACATGAAACCAAGATCAATCATTGTCTCAATTTCCCAACCCACCAAGACATTTATTATTGCACATATCATGCAAATGCTACCTAAAAATATTCATCGAAATAATACAAACAACAAAGAAAAGGGGAATCCTCAAACGAAAGGACGGGTATATACGCGAGCTGCACCAAGTTTCAAAAAGAAAAAAGAAGGACAAACCCTCCGCCGCCAAACAAACGGCGACAACAAAAAAAACAAAACAAAGAGAAATCCTCCTAAAACGAAAGTTACTATTTTTAACCCATGTCGATTAAAAAAACCTGGCGTGTGTTCTTCAGGTCTGTCGAGCAAGCAACAATTCAACTGCACGATCAACCCTCAGGCCCGTACCCAAATCCGTCAATTTGAGTGCTTCCCTCGCTTGCTCGGGTGTAAATCCCATCTCCACAATGCGGTAAATAGCTTTGTCTGCCGTGTTCTCATGGCTCTGCGACCCGTAGATGTTGTGTTGTTGTTCATGTTGCAGGTGCGCCGCGCTCCTGACGCTGGCCGAACTTGACTGGTCTTCGCTGCGCTGACGGATGTGTCGGTAGTAGAGGCCGTTGTTGTGGTGGGGGGTTGAAGCAGATTGGGGTCTAAAGGCTGGGTGAACTGAATCCGGGTTAACGGAAAGGGGGTGGTGGGGTGGGTCTTCGAGGATGGAAGGCATGAATGTGCCTGTGCTGTAGCGGTGCCAGTCTCGGTTGCTTTGGCTTGCAGAGGTAGATGGACTTGGAAGGAGCGGTTGTGCAACAATACGCCGAGGTGGCGAGTTCCTGTCTGAGACGCTGCCCATTGTGTAGGGATCCCGGTAACTTTGTACTGTCGACGCTGAGGGGGTAGGGAGAAGAGGTTGAGCTGCAGTCCGACGTGGTGTTGATGGTGGCCGCTCTTCCGTATATGGATCGCTCGAGGCTATGCTGTACCGGTTGTAGTTACTGGGTACTGTAGATGCTGATGGTGTTGGTAACAGTGGCTCAGCAACTGTGCGGCGCGGCGGAGATGATGGCCTGGAATTTACTCCTGAAGCTGGAAGCTCACAGATAGGTGGCAGATATACCTGTTCAAAAGTTGTGCCTGATCGTAGAGCCGGAACATGGGTCACGAGGTCATTCTCGGATCCTTGTGCTGGTACGCGAGGCCGTGTCAAATTCCGAATCACAGTGTCCCATTCTGACATGGGCCGCTCTTGGGACATTCGAATCATTCGCCGATGTTCACCACTGTTCTTACGCTCCCGAAGCTCTTTGATGTGCCTTTGAAGACGAATCTTTGATTGCTGGCGCTGAACATCACGGGTGGAGATCCTGGCAAAAGTATTGGCAATCTTGTCTTCGTACACACGGGAAGCTGCTTCCTTGAGAAAGGTTCGTCGGGTGCTCCTAGCTACCGGAGGCTTCCAGTTAAGCCACCCGTTTTCGGCAGCAATCTTGAAGGCTGTTGGGTCTGATGGATGGTACGGGCCGGTGAGTTTGAGAACAGCTCTCGGACCAAAAGTTAGGAGGTGATAGCACCATTCGTCAAGCATCATTTCCTCGCCGTCAATGTCGCCGCCACGAATGTCCGTGTTGTCGTATATCCCGGCCTGACGTGCTTGCACGGTGCGTCCCTCAAAGTTTTGTAGGAGCACTCCCAAACAGTTCCAAAGCTCCATCATGTCGAAGAGCTGTTCAGCGCTCAACCCCCCCTCGTTACCCTTTCCAAAACTCTCAGGTGCACTGACCAATGTGTCGTTCATGAAATCGGTACTCATGATGCTAAAAGTGCACGTGCTCTGATGAACCAACACACCTCCGTTGAGCCAGTCCATCTGAGCAACAATGTCGTCCTCCCGCCCTTTGCCTGAGCCAAATATCTTGCAGAATGACCAAATACGCCACAGCGCATCGTCAACTCTTGCCGACTCCGCTGGGCATGCGCTCATGAGCGCAGCTGAAATTTCCGATCGTACAAAAGATTGACACTTCTCCATAATCTCCAATTTGATAGCGCGAATAACCTGTACATCGCGCTTCTGGAGCTGTAGATATCCATCAGTCGTGTATTCCTCATCCGGTCTTGTCACCTCCAAGTCTTCGGCATGTAAGCGATCATGACCAGGGAACGCAATCTCGCGGAATTCCCATGCTGGAGGCGACATCTTCCGGAGGGTAGACTTGATGAGACTGAGCTCATGGCGCTTGAACACTCGGTAGAAGCCTTGGTTGACGAGAGCCGCAGAAAACAGATCTTCGAAATGATCTAGGTGTCGCAGAATGCCAAGAATAACGGTTTCCGCGCCCTGGGGTGTGATGTTCGGTTTTTTGGTATCCAAGATAGTTTCCGGGGTAAACACCTGAGCCACGCTCGTCCTTTTGTACTGTGGAATCATTAACTTCAATGTCTTACTCCCTCGAGAGCGGCCTCTCATCAGCTGCGAAGCAATATGATCCGTAGGTACGCGAGTCTGTACAGACTTCCGCTTGCTGGATTTGCGAGGGACAGCCGGGGGTGGAGAATCTGGTAGAGGGATGGTAGCGAGATCCCATTGGTGTTGGCCTGCAGCTTCGCCCCCACTCGGAGGTTGACGTACATCCCCCCGGAAAGGGCTGCCTTCGGCAAGGGTTGTCCTTTCTCGGTCATCGGCGGGGAGATCGGTAAGGTTTTCACATGCAGACAACTGCTTTTGAAGTGCGCATTCGGCCTCGCTCAGAGTAGGGCTAAGTACTACTGGTGAATCTGAGAACCTTCCAGGTATGTATCGGCCAATCGCTTGGTTGCCTGTGCACAGACTTGCGGCAGTCCTTTGCCGCGGACCGCTCCGTTTGGAGGACTTGCGGTTCAATGTTGGACTGCGTGATATCTTCGTGATGTGTGAAGCATGCTGTGCATCGTGATCTGTACAAGTAATTTGAAAGACAGCTTCTTCTTCACCGAATGGTGCGTGGGTATACCTTCGAGGTAACGCAGACGACGGAGCATGACGACGAAGCTGCTCATCATCAAGGTTTGTGGTTATCTTTGGTGAAGATTCTAGGGTCCCGTCGGGAACCAGAGTCTGGCCACTGGGAAGGTACTTGGATGATTGCGGTGGGCCCCTTTGTATTGGTGAGACGTCATGTTCCAAACTTGTCTCCGACGAGCGGTTGCTGAGCACTGACGATTTATCGCTCTCCTCTGAAGCATAAGAAGAGCTGCTCGAATGTGTCGGCGCCGAAGGCTGAAGTCCTGTAGTGCTGTGAATTGTACGCTCCAGTTGCCCGAATGGGATAGCTTGCGGTTGCGATTGCGCACACGGGGAAACGATAGAATTTCGCCTAAAAACGTGGCTTGCAGATTGGGGCGATATATCGTGATCGCTTCCGTGTCCGGCAGGGCTGAAGTTTGGGAGAGCGGGGAGCGGCTGATCGCACCTTCCACTAGGGATTACTATTTGTATCTTGGGTCTTGAACGCCTGTCGGGGCCGAGAGTCTTTTTCGTGCGGCTACTTGAAGAGCTGCCATCCTTTCGCTGCCACTGGATCTTCCCATGCTTGTAGGTTCCGATGGCGTAATTCAGCGATTTGTGGTGCTCTTTCGATTTCGATTTCGATTTCGGGCTCGAGCTAGAATTGCTTGTTGCTTTTTTCTGTTTCCTCCCCCAGATAGACACGGATCCTGCGAGTAACGATGCGGGGGATTTTGCTGATGACGGCGACATGCCAGCTTTGATACGCAGATAATCTTGTGCTGCTACATCTTGCTCATCGGAGTGGCAATGCGCTGGGGATTCTGGGGATTCTGGATATTCTGGAACAGCTCGTAGGATTGTGACCAGCTGCTTCGATTTCCTGTCTCCTAGTAACTTGGACATCCTCTTCCTGATTGCGTGGGGCGATGGTCCGTTCCGAGGCTTACTATGTTCCGTAAGCGGCTGGAGTTGTCTGCTTCATTCGATGACGTGGTGGGCTGCAGCAAAAGTTGACATAGGTGATCGTAGTGGGAAAGGGTTGCAAATGTGTAGTCTTGTAAGGGATTTTTTATTAGAGCCGTAATCAGGAATACAGGTCAGTCACACTGGGTGAGCATGGACTCTATACTGACCGACGCCAAAATAGCAATACCTCTCGTAAGACGTTTTGTTGGCCGGGGTAAACGAATAGCGTGGCTATGGCGCGCCGAAGACGATATTCCTCCAGTCCTCGGCGGAAGCTAAGCTGAGCTGAGATGATGACAGACTCTGGATCGCGGCACAGCATGACTCTGCGAATGAAAGTGCCGATGGGACACGCATTCCTAGATGGCAACTTTCCCATCACACCCCAGGATCTTTTCTATCATGGAAACCAGAGCGATCAAAGCAAATGAGTTGTGGTCAACGGCGCAGATGCGGGAGCATTGAAAGTGCCGGGGTTAGTGTTGGCTGTGGTATCGGACCGCGAGTGATCGCCGGTGGGGCCGCGCCTATTTGCGGCATCAGTGTGAGTGCACTTGCTCAGCCATGCAGTGCGCCAGTTTGGGGGCCGCAGTGTTGGCATCATATTACGCCCGCCGCCTATACCACACTGTGCCATTCCACTCCGTTCGCTACTGTTAGGCCCAGCTCTGTTTTGAACCCCACGGATCCTGATGTTTGGCCTTATATGACGCATCGCACCTTTGTCCATGTTGTTTCATCCTCCAACCCCATCATTCATTCCACTTTTACATCATGTGTCAATCTCTCGGGCCCTTATCGCTTGTCTTGCCGCGAACGATGCCGCTGACGCGTCCGGACAGCTGCTCTGTTCTCCACGATCAATTCGTTACTGTGGCTACAAGACACATGCATCCACAGCTTCCGAGTGGACCAGCTAATACCAACAGTTAGACCTCATAATAATTATATTACTACAGATTTATGGTCGCATAACTTCGACTCACGAATGTCTGGGTAGACACATTTAGACTTATCCCGTATTTCGGAGGGGCTCGGGTCTATACGAACATGAGTGAGTCCGTGGCACGGCCACATATACCGTAGGAAGGTCCAAGCGGGCTTGGGGTTCTCTCGGTGGTTATTACCTACTGGCCGGATTTGCCGTTGCACCACGTCTTCGGTCCTGCAAGGCTATCAGGAAGGCTGGATCCATCCAGCCCACCCAATTTCTGCATCACAGAAAGCCACTGTCTCGGGATGCGGGCTTGTTCAGCTCCACGAATGTGCCTCCGTAGATACTGATGTGTCCGCAACCAAGCCGCCTAGCAATCTAGTATCGAAGTGACATCTCTCTTCATGCTTACGGAGATGAGATGGCTATATCATTGGGTGAGCACTTAGTTCGGGCTTTGAATTTCACACAAAATATAGAGTTTACTTGGAGACGAAAATAGCTTCTTTTTGTACAACATGGCAACAGACATGATCTTCGACTGGCCGTGACTTGGTCGTGTTTAGTTTTACTCGGTCAACTTCACAAAGCTCGTCACGAGACCGGAAGGGCTTGCTAGCCGATGCAAAGTAATCTAAACACAGAGCAATGACAGTCTAGCATCTTTCAGTAAGGCAATGGCAGGTGCGATTCGCGTCAGGAGCTAATGTGCGTCTAGGTAAAGCACAGTGTTGAAGCAGACTAAAAAGGAGTATGCAGCCAAGCTGTCCTTAATGTGTAGCGTATCGAGCTTACCACTGCAGGATCATCCATGACATTCAAGTCACTGGTAGCGTGCTGAGTGGGTCTCATGCCGAGAGACAGCTCCAAATCCTCGAAGATCGCGCGGCCATGCTTGAGAAGTGAGCAGTATGTAGACATCCTCTGAACACTACCGATGAGTGATCGGGCAGATCCACGCAGATCTCAAACGATACTCTAATCAGCTTCTCGTACCGCTTCTCGAAAGAATGCGTGCGGTGTTACCCTCGGAGCTCCCCGAAAATGTCTACGAACACATATTTGACACCACTAAACCCATCGTCGTTCCAAGAATTGACAACATGAAGTCTGTGACCCCAATAAACCGTGTTCACTGTAGTGTAAGAAGAGAACAGAGTGAAACTGACCAAGACTGCATTGATCCTTTTGCCTTTGACGACTACTTGTCCGCTGCTATCATCGGTTTGCCTACCAGCACAGAGATCCAGGATCTATCCTCGCGAAAGAATCCCTTTTTCTTCCGTGGCTGCAGGGATTCGATAAATGTCACTGACTTTCTGGATCTCAAAGTCTAATTTGGTAAGCATATATGCGATCTTGTGAGACACTTGCGCGTCTATCTTCGCTGCGAGGACTTGGAGCGCGATGTTATCTACGAGACATGGTTAGTACCACCGATGGTGACCACAGTCTCCTCCCGTGTCTTTCGGACTATGGATGAGTCTGAGACGTACGGACAGTACCGCTCTCGGCTGGACGGCCTACAGATGCTTAACTATGCAAGTCACAAGATTGTGCTTGAAATTTGCGTCTTCTACAAGCAGCACACGTTGGAAGTGTCAATAACGTCAAGCTTAATCTCTTCGAGTGCGGTCACTCTGTATATCGTGACGCAAAGCAAGCAGGTGCAGATGTCAGAGTACGTTGGAAAGACTCTCACCTGGGTGACATAAAATACTGGACAGTGTGGGTAAGCACCCAATAGATGTGTCTGGTGATTACAGTGGCTTTTTGCACTACCATGTCCAGTATTTTATGACACCCGGGTGCTTTGACTATGGTGATGGAGAAGATTGGACCGAGTATCTCCTGCTGCGCGAAGAAGACCGGATCAAGGTAACAATATATCCCAACATGCTCGATGATACCAGCACACTCTACGATGAAGAGTTCTTTGCACGCGCGTCGAAAAATAGGAGCTGGAGACATGGGCTTATTAACGGCGTGGTTTTTTCTGGTTGCCATTGCGAATTTTTTGCAATGCGCAGAACCTGTGGTTGTTTACAAGGACGCTGTTGGTGCTCTCAGGATCCTACCAAAAGATGCTAGGTCTATCGAGCTGGCAAGGAAAGTGCGGAACTCAATGCGGTTTGTTTATTCTTCACCAGAATGATATTATCATGTGTTCTGAGGGTGGGAATATGCCTCTTAGTGTTATATGATAGGTACACAGACATGTAGTTTTAAGAAGGGATAGTATTGTGGTGACGGAAACACAGGATCTATGCTAGGTACACAGAATATGATTTACAAAAGCGGCGATATTCTAGTGACGGAAACACAGAAGCAACTCATTTTGACAGAGTTGAGATCTAATGCTCCGAGTGAATAATGTGATAGCTAGTGCATCTTCACTTTACAATACCGAATCTGCGTCACATTCACCCCAACGACCGACCATAACAACGCCACCTTCTACACTGTACACCTCATCCTTTATGCATTCACCAACGCCCCTCCATACTCCCCTGCCAATTCACAAAGCACTATATCGTCTTCCATATAATTCCACCTTAACCTTGCCCCTAACTCTCTCATCAGCTTTCTCAGCACACAACTACACAGCTACCATGTCATCAACCACTACCACCATGCCAGCTGCCACCACTTCCTCCAACACCACCGCACCCCCAGCCCGTTCCCACATCCGATTCGGCACCCTGCCCACCCGCGACACAGTCCGCCGCTACCCCTCCTCCTACACACACCCCACCAAGTCTGACTCCTTCTCCTCTTCGCACTCTGACCACTCGTCTCATTCTGCAGAGTCTTCCAAGACTGGCAAACAGCAGCAGGGTGCGACAGACTTTGATAGCATTCTGAACCCTAGTCAGATGCGGTCTATGGCTGAGATTGACAAAGAGGAGGAGGTGCATATGCAGAAGACGGGGACGGTCAAGGCGAAGAAGATGGGGGGTAAGCTCTTGCTGGGCATGGTTGCGAAGGTTAGTTCTTTGGGGAAGGGTAAGGGTGTTTGATTTGCTTCAATCATGAGAGATGGGGGTTGGGATGAGATGAGCATTGTTTAAGTGTTTGTTATTGGAATTCCTTTCACCGGTTTATGATTCAAGGCTGTATAGTCACATGTTTCTCTTTGCCGACTGCGTAGCTCATTTCGATTCGCTTGATGTGTTTCAAGAGTCGTATATTTTGAAAATAAAAAGCCAAAAAAGTATTAATTACAAATTCAAATAACCAGAAATTGTGATTGCAACCGTGACCGTGAAATTTGTGTGCCTTGTTCTGCTATGCGTGCGTCATGACATGTTCGTTACTATGGATACACCGAGCCTCGTAAGTAAAGTAAGACCAACATGACAAATTATAACAAGCAAGGGAATATTCAGCCCAACAGAGACACCGAAAGAAAGAGAAATAGCTCCATTGATAGAATCGGGGTATATGTCGTAACTTCATGATTTTGATGGGTGCGTTACCAGGTCGTTTTAGACACATCTTACTAATAGCGACGGGAGTCGTAGCTTCTGTTCTCATATCCACCACCTCCATTTCGTCCTTTGTAGTCATCATCACTGCCATACATGGATCGCGACTGAGAGTCGAGCGGTCCATCTAATCCTACTCCGCTGCGACGCCGACTGTGTCGCCTGCTATCTGTATCCTTGGTGTATCGACGAGTGTCATCATCAGTATTGTGCATGCTGGAACCATAGTAGCTGCCAGGCATGTCTCGCACATTTGGATCAGACTGGGTGCCATAGTTGGAGAAACTTGGGCTTCGTGGTCGGGCGTTGGTTGAGCCGGCGCGAGGGTGATGAGACGGTGGGCAGTAGGAATTGCCGGGTGATTGTACCCACGGTGCTTGGCCAGCATTAGACTGTGCACGTCGACGCTTCTCGTTCGCTGCAGTGTCAGAATGAGAGCTCGAGTTCATGTCATCATACGATTTCCCGCCCCCTGGAGCTGCTGAATAGGGCTTACGCTCGCGTTCAATGGGCACAGATGTCGGCATGGGCTCGTCATCTGTGTCAAAAGACCGCGTCTCTGGTTTCGAGGCATAAGGGCTGCGCTCACGCTCCAGACTGGGTCCTGGTGAAGGGGCTTGTGGCTTTGGTGGGGGCGGTGGGAATGAGGGTGCCTTGCGAAGTGGACCGACCCGCTCGGAAGACAGGACTGCGGCGAATCTTTGTTGGGCTTGCAGGTTTTCGACAGTCGGAAACATCCTGCGAGGCAGCTCTTTGGGAAAGCGCTCCTTTCGATCATCGGCATTGCTGATGGGCATGTCCAAGATGGCTTTCACCAGGCGATCGTACTCTGCGTCAGGATATGCCTGGATTAAGATGGCCATCCATTCCTGGAAACCATCAGGCGTAAGTGCAGGTATGCGCGGCTGCTCTGCAGGGTGCTCTTGAATGAAGTGATGTTGGCATCGCAGGTCTCGGTATATCTTGGACAAAGATAAGTAGTCGATTTCTCCAAATATCCCTATTGCTGTTAGTATGCGAAGCAAGGAAATGTTGCATGTAAGCCTTACTCTTCCATGGATAGATCTCATCTTGAATCTTGACGTCTTCATAGAATTTGAGCATCTTCGCGGGCGAGATGACCAGGCTGTGCTTTGGTTCGTAGTCCTCAATCTACACGCAAATCAGCTCGCATTCCGCTACGCGCAGTCATTAATACATACCAAGTGCAGCGCCAGCCCTCTCAGGAGCTGGCCTAAACGAGGCAAAGGCCGGCCATCTGTCTCGAACAGCCGCTGCCACATTTTCTCAATCGGGGTGTATTCCTCGGTCGCCATTCTGGTCGGGGGGTTTGGTCGCACAGGCGGCCGCTCTCGTTCTTGAGGTACACTTCTCTCGAAGCGTGGAGTAGGTATGTCACTGCTGCCATCCAACAGTGGATCACGATACAAAGGGTCGCGGTCAGGGGACGGTTGGCTTGGGAAGTCTGTGCGCTTTGGCGATGGAGGCGTGTAAACGTCTCGAGGTGGAACAGAGTTGTTTGTCGATGTCGGCGAGGGCGGGATCCATTGATGCGACGAGACGGGCACGTGTTGGGAGGTTGTCGTACCAGTTATCCCACTTGATTTGATCTCATCCAATACCGACCTCTTCACTTCGGCAGCGATTTGAGCGATGAGTTGTGGATCAACACCACTAGCAGCATCCGACTTCTCAAACGCATGGCCGATGGCAGACTTGAGTGGCTGCTGGATTGGCTGCGAGTTACAGTCAAAACTGCGTCTGTCCCATGCCGGGCTATTGTCACGAGGCTGACGCTCGGACGCGTCGGTGCTTGTGCGCGATATGGGCCTTGTGCCGTACTCCGGGCTTCTATCGCGAGGATAGTAGTTAGTATCGTAGGAAGTGGGATAGGGAGGGTGGTTGGCGTCGAACTGGTCGCGATAGGCCATGGTGAAGTCCAATGGCAAACGGTCGGGTAGGGCTGCAGTATGACGTTGCTAGGAGCGAGTAGTAGAGCGGGCGACCGTTTGTGGAGCGCAGCGATTAGGTGCTGCTACTACTGCAAAAAAGCCATGCAGGTGCGCTGGCGACAGATTGCTAGAGAAGACTGATGCAGGAGAAATGGAGAGATGAGGGTGGAGAGAGGGGAGCTTGGGAGTCAGATTGTGGGCACAAACACGGCACAGCGGCCTCTACGGTTTTCTATCAGGCAGCGATACCCCGGGTAGGCATGGGGGAGAGAAAGAGAAGGTGGCAAGCAATGGGTTGAACAAGGGAGTTTTCTGTCAAGTTTGACTGGTTGCGCGCAGCTTCATCCTCAGCCTTGTTCGCCATGGAGGTGCCGCACACAGGCGTGCGAGGTTACTGGTAGGCAGCGTGTTTTGGGTGCGTCATACGGGCCAGAGACGTCATCATGGGCTATTAAAGGTACACCCCCCAGGCAAGTCGCAGGTGCAGGTGCCAGTGCCGTAGATCGTCAGGAGATGGACCTGGGACACTGGGCACGATATATGTGGAGAGTTAAGGGGATGACGCGATCTGTTTGTTTGTTTAGGAGCTGTCAGTGACGCGGCGGGACTCTGGCTTATTTGTTGTCTTCGTTTCAACGTCTTATGGTAGCCACCAGCTGGCCACTGCGCGGTGCAGGCGGCATGACACGCATCCCCCGTATATCTAATGAGAAACAAGCTCGCCATTGTTCGCAAAAGGGGTAGCAGCGGACGGGACGATATCATTTGCGCAATATCTATCAGCGACGGAGTGACGGGCTATGGTGAGGCGGGGCGGTTACCAGGCCGGGGCAAATCAAGTGCATGTGGCGAGGCGGCTGAAGTGAGACGGCATGTGTGCGAACAGGCGCAGACGTGGGTAGAAACAGCAGACACAGACAGGCATTGAGCTTAGGCTTCAGGCGCCTGGCGTGATAGTGGCAGCCCAGCAGACACGGATACATGCAGATTCGGAGGTCCGATAAGTCCACAGCTGGGCACCCACCAGATAGATGGAAACCCGGGTTTGCATATCCCCCAGATAAATGGGAATGGGAAACAGCAGGGACTTGGCCTATTTACAGCAGACGAGGCCGTGGCCCTGCATTGTCGTTAGGTCAAGATATATTAAATGCTGAGGCATTGCTGCAACCATGCAAGCGCCCGCCGAGCTTTGGGACGTGGGACGTGGGACCGACACCCAAGTAGTCAACCCAGGTAACAACATCTCAAGCTTCTTCTCTCGACAAAGAAAATGCCGGCGCGGTAGTATCTCAGCCCGCACAGTCAGCTACCAACAAAGTTTTCGTCTGCTACAGTGATAAAAACACTATGTCGTGGCCTGCGCATCCGTCGCTGGCAGGGTCCGATAGGACCGAGAGTCTCACTAGCGTTTCACGTCTCACGTTGACCACGAGCGGTGCCAAAAGCTGTCTCCACGCTCGCGCTCGCTCCACCTCTCCCCCCCAAGGCGCTGGCGACGGGACTGTCCTCTGTTTTAGAGCCCGTGTCTTGTTTCCCACTGCCACTGCTACCCATCTCCCGTCCGCCCATCAACCAGTTGCTTGTGCCAGTCATTCCCAGGGGGGCAAGCGAGGGCCGCAATAAAGAAAGGCCAAACCCCCATCCCACAAAGACATACTCTCGCCTCAGGCCAATTGTCGACGCCTTGTGCCCACACACGCACACCTTCACCTTCACTCATCCTCACCAGCGTCTGCCTGCCACTCCTGCTCACTAACTCCGATACACGCTCCCGCCAACTGTCTAGCGGCCCTGCCTAAGCTATCCTATGCTGTTGGGACCCCCGGCTTGACACGCTCTTGGTATCACCGCACCAAGTTGGTCCCGTACTACCTCGACCACCACATCCCGGCCATTCGACCTGCCCACGCCGTGTTTACGATACACACTTTCACCGTAGCCCGACTCCCATGACCCGTAGCATCCCCACAATGCATATATGAGTTAGCGTAGACCGAGCGACACACCACACCGACAACCTGCCCACTCCGCCCACCTTCCTCTTCGAAGCTATCCACGACCTCGACCTCGACCACGACATGGCCATGCTCGCCTCAAAGTCTCCGTATCCCGCTCCTTCCATCAGTGGAGGGGCTTCGCAGTCGTCCGGCCAGTACAACGGCGGCCTTTCCAGCTACCGCAACCACGCCTCCAACACACGTGCCGAGCAGTCCATGATTGCCTCACCGACAGAGTCTGAGTTCTCTGAGATCTATGACGCACCCGACGCCATTCGGTGAGCATCCCACCCCTTACCTCACCCCACCGCCCGCTAACATGTCTAGACACTGGGACGAGGACAAAGTTGGCGACTGGCTGAAGCGCATAAACTGCGCCCAGTATGTCGAGCTTTTCAAGCGTATGTCCACCCCCACCCCCCCACCACATGGACGACTACTGACAGCTGCAGACAACCACATCAATGGCGAGAACCTCATGGAGATGGACCAGACCCACCTCAAGGACATGGGCATCAAGAAGGTCGGCGACCGCGTCCGCATCGGCTCGCAAGCCAAGCAGCTTCGCAACAAGGAATACAAAAAGGCCTCAAGACGGACGTCAAACAGGCAGTCGCTCGCCACGCTCGACAACACAGCATACACACCACCATCCTCGGGCTCTCCTCGCCCCCTCTACTCTGCACGCTCCAACGCTGCCACATCGAACCCCATCAGCTCGCGGTCTGACAAGCGCATGTCGCGCCAAATCACAAACGCCGAGCTCAGCAGCTATGCCTATGGCGCAAAGTCACCGTCTCGTCCCGGCTCACCTCTTGTTGACCAAGAGACGCGCAACCTTCGATCACAACGTCAAGGCGGCCTAAACAGCCCCAAGGGCCTCGACCCCAAGACATACAGTGCTCACCCCCTGAGCGCTTCCAGCAGCTCTGCCAACATCACCTCGCAATTCGTACGGAATCAACGGAGCACACCCACCGAAACTCCTCAAACAGCACGCTTCGCCCACCACGTTCGCGCCAGTCCCAGTGTAGACAGCGCCACCAACAGCGCCATCTTGCCTCACGACAAGGCTCTGGTGCGCGTCATATACGACGGTGGACGGACGTCGGTAGTGAACATTGAAGGCTGCAAGACTGCCGACGAGGTCATGCACAAGACCTTGACAAAAGGACACCTCAACACTGCACATGTGAAGAATTACTGCTTCTACATCCTCAACAGCGGGGAGCCAGATGCATCATTATCCGAGCGCTTGAGCGATATCGAGGTCTACAGGCTCGTCAAGGACGCGAACCGACACGAACGCGGTCGATTGATTCTCCGCAAGGTGCATGCTGGTGAGCCCGACGAGGATCAACTGAAGGCTGCTGCTGGCATCTACCAACAGCAGAACTTCCAGCAAACACAGACTGTCTACGTACCAGCCAGCAGCCGTAGTCAGACCAAGGTCGAGAAGCTGATGGGCGAATCTCTTGCCGCCGTCAGCTACCCTCTGTCACCCACGTCTGCACAAGAACGTGAGCGCCACATCAACTCGACAGCTCAGAACCTCGAAGGACCTGCCGATGCTGCGAGATCGCCCATTTTCCAAGCACGTGCGCGTAAACTTAAGCAGTTCTACGGTGCTCGACCTCCCAGCGAACTCATTACCTCCGACCTGACCTCATACTTCCCTGACGTTGGCAAGGATGAGATTGACAAGACTGTCCGCATGTCGATCCGTCGGTCCCACAGGCTCAGCAGAGCCGCCTCCCGTCTATCCATGGCATCCAACTTCAGCGTTGCTTCTAGTCTGAAGGATGCGCCACCTCTGCCATCCATCGCCGATAGTTGGCTACAGGGAGGGGCTCAAGCCAAGCCACTGCGGCCATTGTCTGTCATGCGACTTGGCCTGCCCAACCAGTCTGGCTACCGCGATTCCATGGCGTCTTCTGTTCTGGAGCCACTCGAAGAAGAGTCCTCGCTTGAGCCGAACCGAAAGTCATACGTATCGTTCGCCGGCGACAGCGGTTCGGACACTCTGGCTATCACTGACCCTGATGGCAACACTACTCTGCAGTCCTACTTTGACGATGGCGTTAGCAGCCTTGCAGGTAGCAGCAGCAGCAACACCGAAAACGGTGATTCGCTCAACAAACGCCTTTCCGAGGCTATTGCTGAGGATGGCGAAGAGTCGGACGATGAATTGGCCGAATACCTTGAACAGGATTCTTGGGATAACGTCAAGTACATGAAGGGAGCTCTCATCGGACAGGGATCCTTTGGCAGCGTGTACCTTGCGCTACATGCAGTGACTGGGGAGCTCATGGCCGTCAAGCAAGTCGAGCTCCCATCCGTAGCTGGTGCTTCCCAGATGGACCACAAGAAGACCAACATGGTCGAAGCTCTCAAGCACGAGATTGGCCTACTTCGAGAGCTCAAGCACAAGAACATTGTGCAATACCTCGGGTCCAACTCGGATGAGAGCCATCTCAACATTTTCCTCGAATACGTTCCCGGTGGCTCCGTGGCGACTATGCTGATCAACTACGGTCCTCTTGGAGAATCCCTCATCCAGAACTTTGTGCGCCAGATCCTCACCGGTCTTTCCTACCTTCACTCGCGGGACATTATCCACCGAGACATCAAGGGTGCGAACATTCTCGTCGACAACAAGGGCTCCGTCAAGATTTCCGATTTCGGTATCTCGAAGCGTATTGAAGCTTCCACACTAGGCGGCGGTAAGAAGGGTGCACAGCGTGTTTCTCTTCAGGGCTCAGTTTTCTGGATGGCTCCGGAAGTCGTCCGACAGACTGCTTATACTCGCAAGGCCGACATCTGGTCCCTCGGCTGTCTCGTCGTGGAGATGTTTACTGGAAGCCATCCTCATCCTAACTGCACCCAGCTGCAAGCCATCTTCAAGATTGGTGGCAGTGGCGATGCCAGCCCAACCATCCCTGAGAACGCCGGCGACGACGCCCGAACATTCCTGGCCGAGACTTTCCTCATTGATCACGAGGCGCGTCCTAGTGCGGATGAGCTTCTGGCCAGTTCCTTCATCACAAATCAAGGCGCATAAAGCTCCACACACGAAACGGCCAGCACAACTAGCATGGAATGGAGAAACATCCACTTTGGGAATCTACTTTATGGAGTTTACGGCTAAAGCATCTGGTGGTGTACAAGGTGTTTTTTCTTGCAATTTTTGGAATCTTCTTTCTTCTTTTAACGCCCCTTTACGCTCTGATGCGAATGATTCTGTACTATACCACTTTGAGATACCATTCTTTTCCTCCTGTGGTGGGGAAAAAGAATGACAGCAAAAGGCACATGAGTGTGTGCTTCATGGGTACGACCAAGGGTTCTTCGGTCAGCTTGCAGCGTGTCATAGCTGATTCATTACAATCTTTCTTATAGCCCTATCCATATTCAACATAGTACAACTTGTAAACGACTTAACACACTCACTTTGTAATAAGAGATCAAACCTTCACGAGCCTTTTGCCTCCTTTGACTTTGTGCTATTGTTACACTCTGCGTCGCGTAGCGTTGCCCCCACCACATACGGCAAAAGAAAAACATGACGTATGCTTACCGACTAGCCTTTAAGGTTTGAGCGACCTGAAGCTGCCGAGGTCGCATCATCGATAACAGATAACGCTGCTGGACCCTTAATTTTTCTCGTGTCCGTGGTCGTGCGCCTGCGGGTATCCCCCATGGTTCCCCGTGACTACAAACCATGATTGTCTCACCACACCAACCCTAGTCCGTAGGATAAGCTTTTCTCGGCAGTTCGTCTTTTGTGCACAAAAATGAAAGCTTTTGTGTGTTTATCGCACTCGGACATGTTGCTAATCCGAAATCCGAAAGTCGAGGAAGCTACATGTACATGTGATGCTTAGGCACACACTACCCAGAGCTTAGCTACTAAGCCATTTGCCCAGCCCGTCTGTCTATCTGATATACGTTCTAGGAAAGACGTCAGTCAGCAACATATTCGTACCAGGATCAGATATCGAAAGAGGTAGTAACAGGAGTGCAAATGCACATGTAACGCCACACATAGGACCCCACATCCCTTTCCTTCGCATGCATCGCCTAGTGTAAAACACGGGCTGGTAGACACCTAACTACCGTATGCAGAGCAGTCGCATTGCGGGGTAACCAAAAGCCACCTCCTCGCCCAACCTACCATCAACATTACCCTCACCGTCAACCTACTGCCCTTTAAGGACTAAACTCTCACGCCTCCCACGTGACTTGTTGTGCCTCGGTCCACGGGTCATGTTTGCGAAGACGCACATGTCATGTCACGGGGGTTTTCTGGTCTCCGTCTCCGCTGCTCTGACAGGCTGGCAGGCGTCAACGGTCCGAATACATGGGTTCGGTAGATGGGCGAGGTCTGAGGGTTGTGTTTCAATTGATAGCTGGGCGGTAAGGGTGTGTGTTTCTGATGCTGCTGCTTGCTTACTTCGTGGGGGCAAGTAGGTTATTGTCATTCTTTGGCTTGGCGCGTAAGACGGCGATTGTGTACCTAGTGGGGTAGCGTAGCGGTAGTATGGGGTGGTGGCTTGTGGGTATCGGTGCGGGGAAGAGGTATAAGTATGACGGTGAGGTTGTGTTGATACGGCTAAGGTATCGGAATCACCTTCGTTGCAACGAGTTGAAATGATTGTGATTGTTCTTGTTGTTCTATGGAGGTGGAGGGAGGTCGGCAGTAAGGCAGCAGCTAGAGCTCGGACCACACGGCTTAGTCAGCCGTGTAATCCAAGCTCGTGCATGCAGCAACCAGCTGCCTTATCTACCGCAGGTTCGATTCCCAACACTGACTATCTTTTCTTTTTGTGCCGGGAGATCAGATCCGTCCCCAAATCCTCCAAATCTGTAATAATATCCTGCTGCCGAAATGTAGCTAGTTGCCTATCTCGGCTAGCGCTATACGCCTTCCTGTATGCCCTTATGTCCTCCTCTTGTGTCCTTCGTTATCGCGCACACGTGCCCGTTGACTACTTGGTGCCTTCAAGGTTGCTGAGCTCGGTGCTCTCGGTCGTGGGCTTGGTGTTGCGATCACGGTTGACCCACCCTTGCACTCGGAGGTTGAGCTCGTTAGAGTTGATGAGGTTCTCTATCGCGGCGTTGCAACCTGCCTTTGTCATAGAGTCTGCTGGGTTGTCGCGACCGTCGATCCATCTGATATCCATGAGTTCGCTGCGCTCGTAGGCTTCGCGCATTGCCATGATGTCAATCATAAGGCGTTTCTCCTTGGTGGTGCCGAGCTTGACAAGGCAATCGTATAGCGATCGCGAGTCGGTGCATACCACGATGGGGACCTTAGGTAAGTTGAGTCGTTCCATGACCATATCAATGGTGCCGCCGATCGCGACTGCGATATCTACGCCGTGCGCCATCGCGTAGATCTCGGAGGCGAGGACGCTCCTGGTGATCCGCTTGCATTTGACTGAGGACCAGTGGACGATGTTGCCACGTATCCCGAAGTTTGTGTCGCTTGAGGTGACTTCATTGCCGAGTACGATGACGAATCCCATCTGGGAGCTCATATCCTTGTTGTTGGCAAAGGACGCGTCGACTAGGGTAAACAGCTTGAGGTTGCGTATGTCCAGAGGTACGTAGGTCAACCCATGGCAGAGGTTCTTCTTTTGCCATTCGATGCGTTTGTTTAACTTGGATATTTCTTCTTTTGTAGGCTCACTCGCTTGCGCAGCAGCGGCGAGGTCGAAGCTTGCTTCGGGTTGACAGATTGTCGCGATGTAAGCGCCACGTGCGCGTTGTTGAATGTACGTCTTCTTGTCAGTTGCGATCTCCAGTTTCTCACCTTGTTTCTTTTGGCGTAGTGTGATCACGCCGTCTGTTGTGAGACTAACGACGCACCCGTTAAAGTCGATAGGGTTGTTAGTAGTAAGAAACTGCTTCTCTTTGGCGCTGAAGCGCAGCTCCTTGCTCTCCTTATTGGCAAACACGTCATCGGACAGACCGAGCGTGTCATCAGTTTGCATGCCGACAATACCAAAGCCTAACGCCGTTGGCTTGGTGATTAAGAGGCACGGGTCATAGGTTGATGTTTCCATCCCGAGTGTCGTGGTATGGTGTTTGAAGTAGGTTGACCACCAGTACGCTCCTGCCTCGGCGATGCCGTACAGCGGCTTCACGACCACCATGATGGTGCCTTTGGGGTAGGCATCGCGGAGTTGCGTGGGAAGATCCGCGATGATCGTGCGCTGGAGATGGTCATCGGCTTGCGTGTACGCCTGCGTGATATCTCGAAGCCATAGCGTCATGCCCATTTGAAGCAGTGAGGGTGCAAGCGCGATAATAATGCGCTGACTGGCGCGCTGGATCGTCGGGCTTTGTGTGAGCACAATCCGTTTTCCATCATCGGCATAACCCTGAACAACGAGGCGCGATTTCTCGTACGGCTTAGTGGTAGTTTTGCCTTTGACCTCGTTGACAATCCGTGACTTAAAGACGCGGATGCCACCATGGCGCTGAGGGTCATACTCCTCGAAGCGGAACACTCCGCGAGTGATCAGCGCGTCAATCTCTGCCTTGGTGGATAGTTCGAATGGTTCGCCTAGGGTTGTGATCTTGCCAGTGGCACGCAGCTTCTTGGACAGCACTAAGTCGTCCTCCTCGCGTTGCGTGAGGTTGACGTCGTTGGTCTCGATGGGAGCTGGTTTTGGCTTGTTTTTGGAGCCTTTGGGGCGACCGCGCTTTCGTGGAGGTGGAACTTCTGTCTCTGGGATAAACTCGTCATCGTCCGCATCCCCGCAATTGTCGTTGTCGTCGTCGTCGCGCGGGATAACGGTGGAGTTGTTGCGGTGGTATGGCTGCACCGATGTGACTCGAAATGTCGCCTGCCTGCCGTCGACGTCGACAATCGCGGCGGTTAGGTCGTCGTTCATGGCGATGAGGGTATGGGGACCAGTCCAACCGCGGTTCTCGCGCCAAACCTTTACGCTGCTCTGGATCGGGAGCTGAAGCGTTTCAATGACGTTCGGTCCGTTGCGTGTCGCAAGTGCGTCGTTCACCTGGCGTTTTGCTTTGATCTTGCGGACCTCCGCCATCGCGTTCTTTATCGCTTTCGCGCGCGCGCTGATGGATGGTGATGGCGGCGATGTCTTGGATAGGCGGGGGTAGGTGCCAAAGACGAGGAGAGTAGGCACAAGGCCATCTGGACCAGCAGTGTCGTTGACGGCTTTCACAGCCATCTGGAGGAGGTGTTCAGATGACGTGTCGCTGTCTATGTCGGCGGAGATGACTTCGAAGGCACGGCGGATGGCCGCATGGTACCGCTCCACCTTGCCGATGGAGTTATGCGCCTCGACAGGCACCTCGTCAACCTCGATGGCCATTGTCTTTGCATTGTTGACAAACTCCTCGCTCGCAAAGTTCTTGCCAGCGTCGGTGGCTATGACATCAGGCGGACCAACGTACATATCGATCCACATGGCGCGGAGTGTGTCCCATGTTGTGCTTGCTTTCATGTCGGTGAGAAAGCGCGCTGCTTGGAAGGCAGTTGCTTCGTCAATAGCATGAAGTACTGGCCTCTGATTAATGTACATCACGTCGACGATAAGTCGATAGTTGAAGTTGATATCGTCGCGGAGGGTAAACCGAAATCGTCCTGGCGCCTTGCCAGTAATCTGACATTGGTGACAGAACTTGTTGATCTTTTCGATGGTCGCCGCATCGACTTCGTCATAACCTGCTCTCGCGAGGACCTTGTAGAGTCGTCCCGCAGCTGGATGACCAAAGCGCCGATGGAGTTGCGCAAGCTCTACCTCGGTGAGGTAGTGCGTCGCGGTCTCTTGGTCGTCGAGCAGGAGCCATGGGTGTCCCCATTTGCGCACAATGGGGTACTCCCGTGACTCGTGTACAAGCACGTTGTCAACATTGTTGAGGTAGATCCCGTGGCGGTCCATGTCTGCAAGGCACAGCAAGAAAGGCGTGTTGGTCGGCATCACCGCAAAAAGTATAACGCCGAGCGGGGTTTTGACCTTCACCTCGCCAAGTGAGAGACACTCTGGGTTATCTCCAAATCGAATTCGGTGGCGACCTGCCGTGGACTCATTGATCGTGGCCGATGGCTGGAGGCGTTGCAGTGCCATGACCTGGGTCTTTCCTGCAGTGGAGACTCCGGCCGCGCCGGTGTCGGGCATGATGCCTTGGAAACAGTGAGCACCATATCGGTGATCGAAGGTGAACATGTGGGGTGCCTCCTTTGCAGTCTCCGACGCGTATGGGTCGATCCCAGTGATCGCGTGGGTCGCCGCGGCGTCGTTGAGGTTGATGGTGAGCGCTTGCCCGTCGATGGTTCCGCAAGCAGCGGTGTTGAATTGTTCATGTTGGAAGTACGCATCGAGGTCATCAACGCGGTTGCCGTCGTCGTCCTCTGCCTCGTCATGAAGCTCGATGCCTTCGAATCCGGCGAGGAACACGTCGTAGTCGTCATCGAGATCGTGGTTTTGGACATAAGTCTTGAAGCGTTGGTGCGACTCATTGCGCTCCTCGTGTGAATGTCGCGTTGACCAGCATCCTTGTTTGCCGCACACATAGCACTTTTTATCGTGCGAGCGGCGGGGAGGGTATCGCGGTCGTGACAGCGTCGGTCCGCGGTTGAAGCGACCGGTGCCATAGCCTCGGGGTCTGTCGCGAGGTTCGTCGTTTCGGTTGTATCGTCGGTTTGTGTAGAAGATGTCATCGTCTGTCTGTTCATTGTCATAGTTGAACTGCGTTCGAGCATGCGGGTGACAGCGTTGCCAGTTACCGACGGCGTTGCGGAGCTCTGAAGCGACTGCTTCAAAGGTCGACGCAGGTCGGATCAGGACTGCGCTGCAGGCTTCGACACCCTGGCATGCTGACACAAGTTGTCCGGTGAGGCTTGACTCGCTGAGTCCATTCTGCTGAGCCATCGCTTGGTACAGCTTGTGGAGCTTGTCGATGAGCAAGTCAAGGCATTGCGCAATTGTCTTGTCAGGATTACTTGCGATGACGTCCTTTAGCATAATGGTGCGCCATTCGTTCAAGAACAACTGGTAGTTCTCGGTAGTGTGGAAGTAGGCGCCCAGTTTCGCGATGATGTCTTCGTATCCAAGGTCAAGTGGAGCGATAGATTGGTAGTAGTAAGTTGACGCTTTGCCAGTAAGCATAGTGGAGATGGCTAGCTTGTAGCGGTCAGTTTGGCCAGGTTGAATGCCGACTTTGGCGCAAAGCTCTCGAAAGATGACCAGTTTGTGACTGAGCACGTCATACTTGTCACCACTGAACTTATCGTTGTTATTGTACAGCTTCGCGAGGTTTGTGAGTGCTGTCACGTTGAGTTGAGCTGGCGACGGTGAGTACTGTGCTTGTGGGTATCCTGTTGGTGGCTGCGGAGGGTTAGGGTAACTGTAGTTGCTGTTTGTGAGCTGTCGACACTTGAAACCGTCGACGAGTCGCATAAGCTCAAGCTCGTCGTCAGGCCATATCGGGCACGACGAGAGATGGAGGAGGTTGTACAGTTGCGTTATTACTGTGTCACGACTGTTGATCTGGATGTAAATCCCTCGGTGTCGGAGCAATTCCTTGACTGCTTTCCGGAGCCGCACGTCGACCGCACTTATGATATCTTGAGTCCAATCCTCGAAGGACTTTTGGAACTCCTGGAGGATGAAGAGGTCGAACTGTCCATCGTCTTCAACTTGGACGACCCAATCGAGGACGACAGTGTTCAGTTTGTCGGTGTTTATGACTGTGTCGGTCGGGTCGAGTTCCGCGTTGACATACTCACTCTTGTGCATCTCGGAGTACCACGATCGGTACTTGACGCTCTTGTATGGTGCCATGGTGCTGAAGTCAGTCGATTGTTTGCTGTTAGTTGCAGGCGTTGTCAGTTGTTTTTGTGCGTGGTTGACGCAGATCTTTTCGTTCAAGATCTCCTTCAGAACTGTCGGCGAAAGCGCTACCTTGATAGGTAGTCTCTGCGGGCGGTGCTGTACTTCGCACTCCTTGCTACTGTGAGGTAGGAGTCGCTTCTTGGCCAAGACTACACAGCAAAAGAGCTGATGGGTCTCCTTGTCAGATATCTAGCCGATCTGTGGTGTAGCAACCACTGATCAGTGTTGATACGGCTAAGGTATCGGAATCACCTTCGTTGCAACGAGTTGAAATGATTGTGATTGTTCTTGTTGTTCTATGGAGGTGGAGGGAGGTCGGCAGTAAGGCAGCAGCTAGAGCTCGGACCACACGGCTTAGTCAGCCGTGTAATCCAAGCTCGTGCATGCAGCAACCAGCTGCCTTATCTACCGCAGGTTCGATTCCCAACAGGTTGGAAGTAGGCGTTTTTTTATTGTCTCTCCAATTTACTCTGTTCGCATTTTGATTTCTTCGTTGGTCGTACATATCTACTACTCGAGAGTATCAGTTTGGTTCAAAGGTCAGGTTACCTTTAGTTGTCCATCTATCTACTTCCCAATCCTCCAATAATACGACTAGTTAAAGAACGCATACGAAATCACATACAATGGCTTCTTCTCCTGAGATCCCTAAGAAATACAAGGCCGCGGTGTACGATGCACCCGGTTCTATTTCGACAAAGATTGAAACCCTCGATATGCCTGAGCCTGGCCCGGGCGAGGTTCTTATCAATCTTACGCACTCCGGTGTCTGCCACTCTGACCTCGGTATCATGACCAATGCGTGGAAGTCGCTGCCATTTCCCACGCAGGCCGGTCAGGTAGGTGGTCACGAGGGTGTGGGCAAGATCGTCAAGATGGGACCTGGTATGGAGAATGCGGCCGTCAAAGTTGGAGATCGTGTAGGGGTCAAGTGGATGGCAGGGATTTGCGAGAGCTGTGAGGCGTGTAGGGCGGGTATAGATGCTAGTTGTTTTTCTGGTGTAAGTTTTCTGCATTCAAGTTGTTTCTTGCCCATCTTCTATTCTATGAGGGGCAGCATCAAATAGCCCGATACCAACATCTTACATGTATATCGAACTAACTCAACCCAACAGAAAATCTCTGGATACTATACCCCGGGTACCTTCCAGCAATACGTCCTCTCACCCGCAAACTACGTCACACCCATTCCGGACGGCATTGATTCAGCGGCTGCTGCACCCCTCCTTTGTGCCGGTGTGACAGTCTACTCTGCCCTGCGAAAGGCAAACGCCGAATCGGGGAAGTGGGTTGTCATCAGCGGCGCAGGAGGCGGTCTCGGCCACCTGGCCGTGCAGTTCAGCGCCCGCGGCATCGGACACCGCGTCATTGGCGTCGACCATTCCTCCAAAAAGGACATTGTCATGGAAAGCGGAGCTGAACATTTCGTCGCCGTAGACGGCACAGACGACGTGGTTGCTGCCGTGACTGCTCTTACCAACGGCCTTGGCGCTCACGCTGTGGTGGTTTGCACGGCGAACAACAAGGCATACGGACAGGGACTGGATATGCTTCGTTTTGGCGGACGTCTCGTTTGTGTTGGTATTCCCGAGGGTGACCCGCTGCCTGTCTCGTCTGCATCTCCTAATACCCTGATCATCAAATCGTTGCAGATTATAGGTTCTGCGGTTGGTTCGAGGAATGAGGCAATCGAGACGATGGACTTTGCGGCTAGAGGCATTATCAAGACGCATTTTAGGGTCGAGAAGATGGATAAGTTGACGGATGTGTTTAAGGAGATGGATGCGGGCAAGCTACAGGGTAGGGTCGTCATCGACTTGTCGGACTAGAGGAATGTTGTATGTAAGAGTGCGTCTGTAGAGCCAGTATGCCAATAACGAATATCTTACGACTGAAGGATGGGCAATTTGACACTCGCGTGATACCCGGAATGTTCATGGAACTTGGTCTTAAACATGTCCCCTACATCGTGCGTTCAACACGATCCATATAAACGTCGTATGTCGAATAGTCGCAACAGACCGACGACTGGAGGTGATCATACCATATACATAACATATCGCTGGACTCGCATAGACTGCACGATGAAGATATAGCAACAGACAACCGTTAGGCTTGTACATGCTGGTTTGCATTCATAGCCGTTCCGACAGCGGTATACTACTTGTGGTCGGCTTTGACTTGCTCTCCTTACCCACAGTCGGTATGATGTCCTCGTCAGGGATATATTCGGTAAAGTCGCTACTGGCACTGTCCTTGACATCAACCAAGTTCCGTTCTCTTGACTTCCATCTTGGTACATCACCATTTCGAGCGCGACCTACGCCCATGTCTCTCCACCGCTTCGGAGGTTTAACGCCCATCTCAACTAGATTCGACCATATCCTCTCGCCTCGCTTATTCCACCTCTCCATCCTTTCTTCGTACTCTTTGTCGGACGGTTTCCAGTTGCTCTTCAATATGCGGCGAATCGCTTCTGGTGAGACTTTGAAATGCTCGGCCAGGACTGGAGTGGTGAACTTATCGGGCTGTGTGCTGTTCAGATGCCGAATGCCTTCCATGGTGTCTGGCGACAGCTTTTTGCGCGGGTTCCAGGCTTCGCCTCCGAGCTTCTCTTTCAAGGCTTCCTTTTGTATTGCCCATGCTGGACGTTCACGCTTTCTTGGGAACCCTTCTCCGCTGAGTTCATCTTCTATTTCGGTGTCGGGCTTTACACCATCAGGTCTCGAGGCGGACTGATCTACTCTACGGGGTCGGCGCGCATCGGAGAGAAACCGCAACGATTGTGGGTGTATGAGAGGGCGACAGGCAGCGAAAGCTGGTTGGATGTTTGTGAGGGACCGTATGAAAAGGCCAAGTGCCGTCCGAGAGCAATTGTGGCAACTCATCGTTGTGCTATTGAGAAGTTGTCGAAGTCGGCGCTTTCGCAGTTTACCATGTCTCGCACGGGCCCTGCAAACTAAACCTTCGACGCCACCCGCCCGTTGCACATCTACCCCCTACCCAAGTCGTGACATCAACGACAATCAACGGCCCTTGACACTAATCTTGACCGCTACATGTCTTAGGCTCATCAGTTGCCGTAGTATGTATTCGCCAAGACTGTCCTGTATCTGATTGCAGGGCGAAAGCGGCAAAATGGGGGTTAACACCCCCTGCTACTGCCACTCCCTCTTGCACTAGTGCCTCGGTATCATATGACGGGATGCCCGGTCTGCTCTTGTTCACGAGGTCTGCTGCTTCTATAACATTTCTTATCTAATTGTGAAGTCGTTATGCTAGTTGGCCTTTCCACATTCCAGTCTTCCATCATGGCTTTGCCTAACCTGTTTCAGAGGCGTACGGCCAATACAAAGAAGTACGTCCAAGGATGTTACTCTATTGCCGATAGGCACTAACCGTTACCAGCTGCTGGGGTTACCGATTCGAGTGGACGCCTGATCATCTTACTCCCGAACAAATGAAACCGATGAAGTTTTCATATGACGTATTGGCAGAAGAATGTCTTGATCGATTGAATGCTATATCGCCATCGCAGAATGGTGTCTTGCCAAGAAATGATAGCAACAGGGCTGCTTTATCCTCTGTACCGGGTACAGAAGAAGAGAAGAAAGAGCCACTTCCGGTACCTAAGCGAGACCTTTATGCTTTACTCGAAGAGCACCATGAGTCCGATCCCAAGCTTGCAGAGTTATGGCGTGAGGTTCATACTGTTCCGGAGTGGGTGGACTGGGACCAGATTGCAAGAGGTCAGGATGTGTTCTACCGGTACGGAGGACCTGCCTTGACTGGTCTCACTTTCCAGTCACTGTTAGGCGGTATGGGTGCAGCACGAGTCGTCGAAACACTGGCCAGAACCGGAGGCTTCAGCACCAAGGTTGCAAGAGGCAGACTGTTTGAAACTACACAGCACATCCTGCAATGCACAAGGACCTTGGAAGGTATCAAGCCAGGCGGAGAAGGCTTTGCCTCATCGATACGTGTCCGTTTTCTACACGCAGCCGTCCGGCAACGCATCATCAGACTCGCAAACGAACGGCCCAGCTACTTCGACGTAGACAAATGGGGTATACCAATCAACGACTTGGACCAAATCGCCACTATCGGCACATTTTCATCGACACTGATCTACCTGAGCTTCCCACGCCAAGGCATATTTCTCCGCCAGCAAGAGATCAATGACTACTTGGCGCTATGGCGCTACATTGGCTACCTCATGGGTACACCTGATGAATGGCTCTCCACGCCTGCCAAAGCAAAGGCCATCATGGAGTCGATACTCTACCACGAGGTTGATCCCTCGGAAATGTCCAAGACAATGGCCAACAACATCATCTACGCCCTTAAGGAGGAGCCCCCCACCTTCGCATCAGCAGACATGCTCACTGCCAGCGCCCGTTGGCTCAATGGCAACGAGCTGTGTGACCGCCTCGGTTTAAAGCGCGTATCCTCATACTATTGGTCCCTTATGGCAGGCCAGTGTCTCTTCTTCATCTTTTACTGCTACACATATCGATTGTTCCCCAAAGCTGATCGCACAAGAATCGATCGTGCAAAGGATATCTTCTGGACCCTCATTGTAAAGGCCAAGTGGGGGCTTGCTGGCACAGAGACGAGTTTTGACTTCAAGTATGTGCCGCAGTATGATACGTTGACGCACCTGGGCGATATTGGGGAGAGGAAGCGGACTGCGCTAAGCAACGAGATGCGGAATCTGAAGGCGTTGGGCATTGCGGTGGGGACTCTGGCTGTGGGGGTTCTGTTGAGTCTGAAGGTGGCTTCGGTTGTAATTGGGAGGATTTGGTAGAATGCTGTGAAGCCCGGGTTTGCTTTGTATTCATTCTTGCTTCAAACTCGGTGCATTCTTGTATACTCAAAGAAGTAAGCGTCGAAACTTAGCGCAAGTGCATCACGGTGAGATATTCAGAATGAACCCAACTTCACCTCACCTTTCTCTAGATACTAGTGTGCGCACTATGGTGCACGTGCACCATGTAAATAACTTCAGCGATCCAGAGTGATACCATACTCAACTGTAGTCGACACATCGCGACAAATCGTGACAACGATTGAAGCCCACATCATTGTTGCTTCTGTCGAGTAACCGTTACTACAGTCGGACTCGTCCTCATACTCGTCCTCGTACCTTACCAAGCTCAACCACTCCTCCCCACTTTCGCTCGTAGCTCCCTCGCCACCCACTCGTACACTCACTGACACCTAACCTACACACACCCCAATCGATATCGGCACGCAAAAATGGCCCAGAAAAACTCCTGCAAGTTGTACTCCTTCCAAGACGGTGTCTGCGGTTGTCCAATCTTCTGGAAGAAACAGGAATCAAAGCCCTTCATCAAGAGCACAAAACTTTCAGTCATTGGAGACTCGGTGTTTACACGTACTGTTAATAAAGGTGGAGGTGCAAAACAGAGGATCTTGAGGGCGCAAAAAGGCAAGAAGAAGAAGACTATGCCATCTATGATTCCCGGTAAAGGTTCTGCGATGATGTCAAGGACTCAAATGAAAAAGAAAATGAAGGAAGCGAACAGGCTGATGCACAAGAAAGAAGTCCATGAGAAAGAAGTCCACAAAAAAGAAGTCCGTGTCTTGGTCGACTATGAACTTCCTTCTGGAGCTGATCGTTTGGATTGGGATACAGATGAGGTTCGGAGGATGGCGGGGGAGATTGCATAGAGGGTCTGTGAATTCGAGATTGAAGTTTTTGGAGACACAGGAGCGATGATATTTTCAAGGAAATCTTGCTCAGACAGCTACCATGACTACATCGGATTGGCTCGTTCTATATAGTCTTTGCCTTACTCGAGTTGCGGTCATCTGGAGAGCGCCCAGACTTGGCTTCACGGGCGGTCCGGGTCCGTTTTTCAGCACACACATACCATAATGTCGATATCGTCGGAGGAAGCTGACAGGACGTGGGAACATGCTGTGAAGTATCACCATGGGTGTGGCTAGCAGAGCAACTGTATTAGCACAAAACCAACGGGCTATGAAATGATAGCGATTACTGACCTTGTTCTCCCACGTCCAGAAGGTGCCGCTGTGCTGTATACCCTTGCTCTTAATCACCTCAATCATTTTCGAGACCGACTCTTCTGGTGTTATCATGCCTTGCACTTCCCATGACAACTGGTTGTTTGCCATGTCAGTTAAAACTTCGCCAGGATGCATGCAGAGAATGATGGTATCATCGTCCTTCCTCTTCAGCTCGGCAGCCATGTGTCTCACTGCCATGTTCAATGCCGACTTCGAAGCCGCATACGCGGCAAAGCCATCCTCCATTTCACGGAAATTGATCTGCGAACCCGAATCGCTGGACATGAAGACAATCCTGCCGATGGGGATGTTGGTCTTGAGTAGCTTCTGTGCTACGATGATTGGGCCAATAGTATTGGTGTGTAGATGGAACGCGAATTCGTCAAAGGATCTGCATTAAAGATCAGCATGCTTCCAAGTTCCTGGGTGTATCAAGTCTCGTTCGAGATGCACGCTTTAGCCAAACACAGAAAAGCGTTTACGGCAAAGGAGAAACATACAACTCAGTTGCCCTCTACAATGATTAGTGCGGCTCCGTTGCGCAATACACTACTGGACTCACGTTTGGGTATCTCAGTACTCCTGCGTTGATGACTACATTGTCGATTTTCAAGCCTTCCTGCATTGCCAATTGGGCGACAAATTTCTGGACTATATTAGTTCAGGCTATCTTGTATCCACATTAAGAGCACATGTACGTACTTCTATGCTCTGTTCGGATAAGATGTCGCAGGTGTACATCTGGCATCGGCCATGGTCACTCCCCGCTTGTCCCCACAACCCACTGGCATGACCGGCCCAAGGCTCCCGTACAGTTGCGATGATGCGCTCATTCTTGGCTAGCAACTGCTTGACAAATTCCAGGCCGATGCCTCTACTAGCGCCCAATATCAACCATGTGGTGAAGTTCTCATCGGCATACAAAACGCCCGGAATCTGATCCATTGGGTCTGTTGGGGTGTGGCGGGGCAAAGGCAATAATAGCAACCGTTGGACTAGAGCTGAAATGTGACGGACCAAGCCTAAAGGATCGTTCGTACTGGAGCGGGATATAGACGGTAATGTGCCGTCGTTCAGACAATGATAAACGATAATCTTAGATCAGGCCCGGGGTATTTAAGCAGCAAAAGCGTGGAGTCGCGCGGATAGATCACATCGATTTGTAGACGCTTGTGCGGAGAAGCATCACATATCGTAGCCGTCTATGTATGCCGGTCCGAAGTAGGAACGAGGCGGCAGAAAGGACTAAGTAAATGGAAATCCGGACCCTTGGAGTTACCGAATACCAGGACGAACACGTGAAGAAGAAGGCACGCTGTGCCAGAAATGGATCAGAAGTCAGAAATGCATGTAGCAGGCAGAGTCGAGGTTGGTGACGCCATTATCCGGCAAGTTTCATGCAAGACATGCAAGATTGCCGAGCAACGAGCACCAGACAGAATGGCTCGATGACGCAGCCAGCAGCTGTCATGAGGGCGGTCATTTCTGTTTCGCAGAGAGCAAACGCAGCGATTACAGTCCACGGGACACGGACACGACAATGGATGGTGCATTTTCCTGCTTGCCACCAAGCCTCAACCGGTTCCACCCGAGAGAATTGCGGCTTAGCTATCATCGCCCTGTGATTCGCCGCCCGATGGCGCTAGCCGCGCTGAGAAGACGGGCCCTGACACTTGTAGGGTCACGTGTTTGACGTTTTCGATTGAAAGCCTGCAGCCAACTTTTTCTCCCTCGCTGCTCCGTCTTCTTTGCTGCTTCTCAACACCGAACACAAGTTTCCTTGACATCTAGTACTACTATACACTACACATCTCCTCCCCTTACCAACTACACACCACCAACTTCATAATGGATATCGCCAAGGGTACGTTTTCCTGACACTTTTCGGACGTCATCGGTCACCACCCGCTTGCCCACCAAGTCCCGAAGCCCATTGAGTTCGCGCATACACAAAGACGGCACTCCTGTGCAGCCCGCTGTCCTTGAGTTGCTGTATAGCGAATTTTTAGCGGCTGAAAGGGCGGTGTACGCACTGCAGCATCTTTGCGACAAAGCAAGAATGGGTGGCGGACCAATTGGCCGACGGTCAAAATTATTCATCATGCACATGGCTGACGTGCCTTTACAGGTGACCACAAGAAGGGTGCCAACCTTTTCAAGGTACGAAGATATCGAGATAACGCTGAGCATCATCATCGTTATTGCATCCGTCCTACGAACCTTACCTAACGACGCTCCAGACCCGATGCGCTCAATGCCATACCCTGAAGGAGGGTGAGGGCAACAAGATCGGCCCCAACCTACACGGCCTCTGGGGCCGCAAGACTGGTCAGGTCGAGGGCTACTCATACACCGATGCCAACAAGCAAAAGGGCATCACCTGGGACGACAGCACTCTGGTATGCACGCCTTATACAAGATGTGAGAGCCATGGGCTAACACAGCACAGTACGAGTACCTCGAGAACCCCAAGAAGTACATTCCCGGTACCAAGATGGCCTTTGGTGGTCTCAAGAAGCCCAAGGACCGTAACGACTTGATCCACTTCCTCAAGGAGGAGACCAAGTAAGCGTCATCCACCCTAGACGCTCATCATACCCTCTCCGACCTGCCACGAACCTTCTGTAATACCTTTTCGACCCAAAATTCGTTTGGATTGTATCAACATGGATGATAGACGAATGATGGAAACAGTGGGCGCAATCGGGCGCATCACTGTTTCGTGTAGAATATGTTTGTTGTATTATTTCCAGGGCGCTTTTCGACTTCTGGTGCAGTATAGAGCCGGTTGGGGATTTAGTGGCACGCTTGAATACAAATTCTCCTCTTCAATTCAACATACGACCTTGGCCGCTCCTTTGTGTGATGATCATTCGATGCCAGATTCCGTCGAACCGCACCGATGACACGATCCGCAAATTTTCTGACACGTTGCGTGAATTTGGACAAATCGAAAGGGACTAGAAGCATTGGTGTATAACTAGTCTAGGACACGGCTCACACGAGCACCCTCGGACCTGAGGAAGCGCAACCAGGGAAACAAGCCTTCTCCGAGCGCTAGCCGAGGATCACAAGGCTGGAACTGATGGATGCAGCGTGTGTGCGGAAGCCCGTCTGCGCCATTTATAAAAGCAAAACATGTTGCTGCTCTCTTACCCAATTCTCCTTGGTCAACTGCAAAGGGGGAGGATGAAAAGCGTAAGCTTTAGTGGCGCCTTCTCCACGTGAAACGAGTAGCAAGTGTGGGGGATGTTGCCGGCGGAAGGCTCCGCGTACATGAACTGCCTAGGCGTGTAGACCCGTACCGAGCTCTCAAAGGCCTGTGATTCTCTCCCCTCCGGACAGTAACAAGAACAAAGCATCTCGAATCGCTCCAGGGCATATCCTTCCTATCGTTACCTCGGCCTACCCACGCACCCCTTCAACTAGCGTCATAGTGGGGCGGGATACCCTTCGGAGCTTGAGCGTGTTGCTACCACCGACAACCGCACTTTGGCGAAGACACAACAACAAAGGCCGTGAAGGCCTTGAACAACTGCCATCATGTCGTGGAGACGGAGCGAGAAGCTGATGGACACGATCAAAGTAGGTTACGGCGACTGCATGAAGCGCATGCGTCCATAGCTAACGCCATTGCAGCACTACAGCAACTTCCCAGCCACAGGTACGTAACAGTAGAAGAGTCATGCCGAGTATCCGTCTGATGCATCTCCAGGTGTTTCCCTACGGCAGATGGTGCAGTTTGGAGAGAAACCCTCTACCGGAACCCTCTTCCGCGCGTCGCAGTTCCTTTCCGAAGAACTGCCCATACGGTTAGCACACCGAGTGCAAGAGCTCAACGACCTTCCTGATGGACTTAATGAGATGCCATCCATATGCCGCGTGCGCGATTGGTATGCGCAGTCGTTTGAAGTGTGTAATGGTAACATCTTGCTGCAAGTGTCTTGACTCACCACCCCAGGAACTCGTGCAATTGCCCCGGCCGAATCTCTCGAGCGACGTCAAAGAACGACTACTCAAGCCGGCGAAGAAGGCTGACAAGAGTTTGATGAGCAAGCCGACACAAAATCCAAGTATCAAGACAGGCCAGTACCGATCCGCGCCGACAAATGGCAACGGCAATGGAAATGGCAACACAATCACAAAAGAAGTCAAGGGCGCAAGTCGGAGATACTACGCCGCTGCAGACGACGGACAAGATTGGCCACCAGAATTAGCCGCCTACAACACAAAGTTTGCAGACACATTGGAGAAGATTAAGAGGCGGCATGACAGCGTCGTTACCACTGTTGCGCAAGGCATCTTGGAATGGAAGCGCAAGCGGCAACGGTTACAAATCGACCACAACATACAGGCTTTTCTCGATCGTTTCTACATGTCTCGTATTGGCATTCGCATGCTCATCGGCCAGCACATCGCCCTTACCGACCAACGCTCGCGGACCGACCCAAACTACGTTGGAATAATCTGCACAAAGACGAACGTCCAGGAACTTGCACAAGAGGCTATCGAAAACGCGCGCTTCGTGTGTGAAGACCACTACGGCCTATTCGACGCGCCAAAAGTGCAGCTAGTGTGCAACCCGGACATTAGCTTCATGTACGTTCCTGGCCATCTATCGCACATGCTCTTCGAAACACTCAAGAACTCGCTACGTGCCGTGGTGGAACGACATGGACAAGAGAGGGAAGCCTTCCCAGTAACAAAGGTCATTGTTGCAGAGGGCAAGGAGGATATCACGATTAAGATTTCGGATGAAGGAGGTGGCATTCCTAGGTCATCGATTCCGCTAGTATGGACGTACATGTACACGACAGTCGATCAAACACCAAGCCTGGACCCGGACTTTAACAAGAGCGATTTCAAAGCACCAATGGCTGGGTTCGGTTATGGTCTGCCAATTTCGAGGCTTTATGCACGGTACTTTGGTGGCGACCTGAAGCTGATTTCCATGGAAGGGTATGTACCGAAGACGTGAACCCTCTGACTCAATCTAACATAGTAAACAGCTACGGCACAGACGTATACCTCCATCTTAACCGGCTTTCGTCGTCCTCGGAGCCTCTGCAATAGCAATTACCCGTCATGAGGGGCGGATGGACATCGAGCGAACTCATCCGGTCATCCCGAGGAATGGCGCAAGGTAGAAACGGTTCGCGTATATACAATCCTTTTCTGGCTAGCAAAGCGATGAAGTTGAAGCTAAGTGGCCAGGTTAGCATGGAAATTAGTGAGCGGAGACAGGTTGGTGACGCGGCGAATATGTTTGCCGCACAAGCAAAGGGCGATGCGGATAAGCCGTGGTGGCGCAACGTGGGCATGGAGGAGGGTGTGTGATGAGTATTGTGGGAAAAGAGGTGGGAGTGTAGGATCATTGGTTTTTGAGGATATGTCGTCATGGAGATGATGGCCTTGGAGACTACGAACGCGTAACGCATGTTTTCCTTCTGCCTTGAAAATGAGGGATGTATTCCTTCGTTGGTATGGGCTTTGGAATGCCTCGCACCTATGGCGTATGGGACGACCGCACGCGTCTTGTTTTCTGGGATAAAGAACAAGTAGGCAGATGTTGTAGTAACGCTGAATGCTATGCTGTTACTATTTTTGCCAATCAAAAGTTCCAAGTCTTTTGAGAGTGATTACCAGATATAATATTCCAAATGGGTATAATGCTAATGACTACTTGTTGCCCCCACCCGGCCTGATTTTTATTATCCAAAAACGCCGTATAACAGAATATAACTTCCCGATCTAGGACTCTTCGTGATAATTCGCTTAGGCGTTTTACATTTAAGCCTGACTTTGACCCAAACTAACCCTCTTCTTCATCCTAGTAATCTCCCTCTCTTTACCCTTTGCATTCCTTGCCGGACTCCCAGACGCACCCTGTCCCTCTGCACCTGCTCCTCCACTGCCTTCTCGCAAACCCGACGGGGCATCCCACTCATCATGCCAAGCTATATTCGCGTCTTCCCATTGCGTGAGGCCGAGGACAATGTTCCTGTAGTGAGCGCGTGTCTGAGGGATAGACTGGACACAATCATGTTAGCCATCAATCACATTCCAACCAAAACCCCCTTCCAAATATCCCATGGGACCAGAAATAGATAAAAAAAAAAGAAGCAAGTACCTCATTCCTACTAGCAGCAATCCACATAACCATCTCCTCACTCTCCAGCACAGCAACAGCCTCGTCTCTCCGCTGCCGCTCCTCGTACTGTTTTGCGCTACCAACAATACCACCAATCCCCATTCCTCCTTTTATTGCTGCACCGCTCATCCCGCTTCCGATGTTGTAATTCTTGCCGCGTGCTTGGAGACCCCGGCGCGTTTCGTCAAAGGGCCGCGAGCTGGAACCTCCGCCTGTGTCGTAGCACGTGGAGACGCGGTGGGTGCTTCGTGGAGGTGTGCTGGCGCTTGCGCTGGTTACTGCTGGTGCTTCGGGCCATGGGGCTATGGTTTCGGGGATAGTGGTGGTGGGATAGGCGTTATTTAGGATGGTAGTGAGGTAGGCTGGGGGGTGTTGTTGCTGTTGTTGGTCGCCTTGGTTGGATTGTGGTTGTGGGGGAGGCGCCATATTTGCATTCCTCTGAGCTGGAGATGCGCTGAAAGTTTATCGCGCGCTGCGTCTGGGATTGGGAGCTTCAGTTGGTGGAGTGCGATGGGGAAGCTTGGGGTAAGTAACTAGGTGTGGGGTCGACATGTCCGCGGGAGAGAGCTCAGATGGGAAGGTGACAGTGTGCCACGGATGTTGCCAGTACTTTTGTACTCAGTATCATCCCAGTAAAACATGCACAAAGCAATTAGGTTGAGTATACACAGTAGTCTTGTTGAGATTCTTCTACAGGAATGGGAATTGAACATGAACTTTGCACAAGATCCTAATCAAGACATGTAATGTACATGGGATTTCAATATACGCATTGAATCTGTTATCCTCCACATTGTGACCACTGGCTGTGGAGATTCCTGTCTAGTGACGTGACCGAAAACGCTTAAACCCCAATCTATGCTATCTTTACAGGTGCTAAACCAGCCAAACTGATGTCGATTGAGACACCCCTTTAAGTGAGCAGACCCTTCTATGGTATTTAACAAGTCCAAATCGCTACTACTCCTACATCGAGTTCGGCTACGCACCGCCGTTGGCATGTTCGTGAGCCTGCTGATGCTCAGCTTTACTACCCTTGCCTCTCCAGGTGCTGACCGCTGGTATATCGGCCTTCAACCTCTCTTCTTGCGTCGAGTACGCCTTTGGTGTCAATTTGATCAACGTGTGTAGCGGTACCTCCATCCAAGGACTCTGCTCCTGGGGCACGTTCATGAAGTATGCATAGATACACCTCAAGATTGCCTGATGCGTGACAATCAAGATGTTTTCACTGCGCTCCAATTCCATAATGATGGGCTCGAGCCGGATTACGACGTCGCGGTAGGACTCTCCACCAAGATAGCGGTAGTTGTATTTGTCTTCGTCACGTTGCTTGAAGTCTTCAGGGTACTTCTCCTCGATCTGAGCATAGGTGAGACCATCGCAAACGCCAGAGTCGAGTTCGTCGAGGGCTTTCCATTCGAGTTTCTCAAACGTGAGGAATCGTGCGGTTTGGATCGTTCGTTTCAACGTCGAGGTCCACACGGTAAGCTTGCGACCATCGCCAACTGACTTTGCAACTAGCCCAGGAAGCGCATGTGCATAGGCATCACCTCGCGCAGAGAGATTCGCATCTCCTCCGATTTGCCCTGTGAGGTTGTACTCGGATTCTCCGTGCTGTTCCGGTTAGCATTTACAGTTCCACACCTGTAAAATTGACTTACTCGTGATAACCAGATCGATCGCGGCTTGATGTGGAGGTTCATCAGGTAGTACACGACCCTACTCTGAAGATAGTCTTGTATCTGGTTGATAATGACTTGCTTTCCGACATCGATGAGTTTGACATAGGTAAGATCACGCTCGTCTTCGTCTATTGTCTGGTAGACCTTCTCATAGTTGCGGATGCGGTTGCGGAAGTCTGCTGCGGCCTCCTCAGGATCCTGGCCAACATAGTCTGGCGACGTCGTCTTTACTTCGAGAATATTGCTCATGATAAGCTCTTCGTCGTCGCATTTTGACTCTACGAACAGAGTCTCAATGTTCTCGGCAGTACATCTCTCCTGAATCCACCTGCGACGAGCCTTTGTCGAGTTTGTCGCATCCAATATCGCAATCAAGCCCCTGCCTTCGGAAAACCACTTGCACATATCATCGACAGCTGCTTGGGCGGCCGCTTTCCGGAGGCGCTCTCCTTCGGGGTTCGAAGTGTCGAAGAACTCGGCGGAGGGGTTCGGGGTCGCAGTACGGCGATACTGTCCAACATTGAATGTCTTGCTTTTGATGGACAGCCAGTGCAAATAGCGGACCACTACATGGCAATTGATTAGAGGCAGGTCAGGTACATATAGGGGTAAAACCTACCTTTTTGTGCGATCAAACTCTTCCCCCGCGCGGGCAAGCCCACCATGACGACGCATATCCGCGTGTCTTCAGCCTGTACACCAACTCCATTAGTCTTTTTGCTTGGCCTCACAAGTTCGCCAGCAGGCACGGCGCGCATATTGGGCGCATAGTATCCATTGGACTCGGTCATGATGCGCGTTGAGGCCAGCTCTGAGAATCCAGCTCCGAGAAACAGGCGATGTGAATTGTATTGGGCTGAGAGAAGAAATGTCGGAAACTAGGAGCCGAAGGTATTCCGAGGTGCAGAAATGCAACGCGGCTTTTAATCAAAGATGCAGCAATGCCAGATATGAGGCGGTCAAGAAAACAAGCCTTGTCAGTGATTCAAGGCCTGGAGTCGTCGGCTAGGTTGAAGCAATGGCTGTATGGGCGTCAAGTGTCGTGTTGCAGAATCGTGAGCTTGGCTCGGCGGTCAAGACAGGAAGCGAGAGGAGATGGATTGACGATTGACGATTCCCCGCATTCGGTACGCCGTCCTTCTTTTCACAAGCAAGCGTTCGGATTGCGGCTCCAGGCTAGCGGGAAGTGGTGGAGCAGACGAGACAAAGTCAATCTCATTCGAGGACCAGCTGCTGGCGTGCAGTCCATAGTGCCCACCTGGCGGACAGCCGTCGCGCCTGCCGCTGCGTGTGTGCCTCAGCGTTGAGCCTTCCGCAAGCGCGCCAGCAGGAAAGCCCATACATTCGTGCCGTATTGCGCTGCCTTTCCCGGTCTTGTGCCATGATGCCTGCGGTATGACGGGAAAGGGCTCCAGTATTGCTAGGGTATTCCAGATCATGCCTTAAACCGCCGATTGCCGGAAGCCACGAACGATGGGGTAAAATTTCTTTGCAGTCCAGGCAGTCTTCCGCCAGTCGTTGGAACTCGGCGAAAAGGAAGAGAGGGCGTGCTTACCGTAGATATAGAGTAGGTCCTGGTATGACCCATTTTTGACATCAGTCCTCGCCTCGTTGCGACAATGGCGTCACGTAAGCAATATCTTGAGTTGATGTCGGGCGGGGCAAGGTAGTACTTGCTGCTGCCCAAAGTCTCTTGTACCCACTGGATACGGCTCAGGTGGTGGGGGGAGTGGAAGGATGCGACTCAAAGAAGGTAGACTGCTCTTACTTGGGGGGGCTGCGGGCGTGAGCTTCAATCTGCTAGATAGTCTTATCGTGACCTGCAAAACCAGCGATATCGCTTTGACACTGCAGGCTGTAATCGCGCCGCCTTACCTCCCCTCTCACTCTCCTCTGCACGTGCAACCAGCTTGACGCATACTAATATGATAACACCGACATATGTGCTCGTGCATGCACGCGATTGATACCACCGACTTTTTCTTGTGACGTATCAAGACTAAGACTTCATTCATTACGCTGTAATTATCAAGTGCTCCAACATGACATCTGTCCACGCTATATGCATTCCTACGCCAGATCCAAGTTACCAAGATGCGGGTATCTAGCAGCACTGCAATCATCCCAGTGCTAAAAATGCGACACGATACAATTATCATAGGCCGTTATGCGTCAATGAGCTGACCAAATCTCAAGCATGCAGCTTCGCCATACCGTTGACCCTGCGGTGAGAGTTGTCGATTCCACTCTGCAATGCGAGCAGAGTAGCACTGGCGTCAAGACGACGCTTTAGCGCAGCTGCTGTCCTTTCTTGTCCTCGGCTGCCAATTCCTTCTTCGACCCATCTGATTTTGTTGATCATGAAGCTGAGGCCTTCATGAGCCTTGCTCTTTCTGCTCGAGATGCCGTATTCGACTGAGCCCGTGTACTCTTGTAATTGTGGTAGAATAAGTATCTCAATCTGTAGATCCATATCTGCAGGCGGCGTCACAGGAGCAGCTGGCATTTTGGTGAGAACGTCTTCGGCGTCCGATGGGTCGTTGGGTGCCGTAATGCGTGGATCCAGCATGGCGACATCGACAGTGTCATCCCACTCACCACGGATCCATCCGGAATGAATCGCAGTAGCGATGGGGTCTGAATCGTCGCGGTACACACGCGCGCCCCAGAGGTGCCTCTCCAATACAACGTGTTGTCGTTGTCGTGGCTTCAGGTAGTAACGGGGCACCCTGATGGTGAAGGTACAATTGATAGGATTGACATCAAAGCGTGGCAGTCGTTGCGGTTTCGAGGCATAACCAAATTGGTCATCCAGTGATGAGTTGGGTTTTGGCAATTCTGTCCTTGCCTGATACAGCTGCGATCCAAGGTGCTTCCTTGGACGTTTAGCCGCTTCGTCAAGGATAGGCTGTACATCGTGAACTTTGGTCGATATCTTGGTCGGAACAAGCGGCGCCTGCTGGTTAGCTCTAGGAGCATGATGGTGATGATGATGGTGTGGGTTGCTTTGGATGTGGTGATGGTGATGGACGGAATGGCCGGGGACAGCTTGAGGTACGCTCGATTGTCGTCCGTTGATCGGAGCTGAGGTCGATGGAAGTGGTACCTCGTCGTCAGGCTTGTGGTGGTGATGATGATGGTGGTGACTAGATTGTTAGCATGCATCGCATGGCAAAGCATCAATCTACTTACTGGTGATGTGGAGCATGATGATGGTGGTGCTTGCCCCTCTTAGCCCCACGGGTGCCAGACGGTGTTCCTCTGCCGTCTGCATTCTCTAGATCGAAAATACCCTCTTCATCCTTGACGCGTTTTAGTCTCCTGCCCTGCTGGGAACCAATTCGTTTCATCATCTCGCCGTTGTCCGATTCGAACGATCCTTGAGGCAACGGACTTCCCCGTGATGGAGTTGACGTCCCCAGCCCGCTGCCGAGACCGGAAAACATTCGCCCGAACTCACTCTTGATGCCAGGATCTTTGCCAACTGACAAGGGCTGCGCTTGTGCACCTTGGACAGCCTGTGGAAGTGGAGACGCGCGGCCAGTTCGACGGCTGGCCTCTAGTCCAAAGCCAATATGTGATTTCGAGTGTTGCATGGCCTCGCCCATCTTAGGGGGCTGATCGTATAACGATCGTCCCCCAGAGGATAAGGAACGGGACAGCGGCTCGGTCCTATGTCGATCCAATGAGTTCGGATCCGATGTGGGAGGGGCGTGGTACTGCTCGACCACACGGTGACCCAACTGTTCTACATTGCGTCGAAGCATGTCCTCAAGACCCTGGCCAGAGTAGCGCGTACCGCCCTGTACGGGTGGGTATGGACCATAAGCGCGATGCATTGCTGGAGGCTCTTCTTGCCGGCTCTCTGGAATGGGTTCGCGACCAGCGCTTGTTGGCGCCGAATGACGCCAAAGGCTACGCGGGGGTTCAGATGAGCCTGCGATGTTGCGATGCTCTTGAGGTGGACTAAAGGCTGACTGCGACACAGGGTGCACTGTCACAGGCCGGTCTCTCTCAGACGCGTTGTGGCCACCATCAGCCAAGAGGTCTGCAGGGTTTGGTCGGTGCGATTCCCCTAGGGTTCTTCGCCGCTCCTCATGAGGGCCATATGCGCTGCGCCGCCCTCCAAAGCCATCGTACACCGGTCTACCCTCTTGTTCAGCATCTCCTAGAGGGCCGAGAGGCTGGCTGTTTGGTCGCGGTGGAACACCTCCCGGGGGCTGGCGATTTGGGTCTTGCGCGTATGGTCGTTGACTGGTAAAGTTCATCGGCTTGTAAGACTGCGTGGTTGGCGGAAGCGATTGGCGACCCAGATCAGGCGAGCCGTGGGTGCTGTAGGACTGTCGCGGAGAGCCAGCCGAAAAGGCGTGTCCCTCGGATGGGCGCGACGTGTTGCTCCCATACATGCTGCGCTCCGGCGTGGGCTGGCGTCGGAATGGAGCAAAATCTTGTCGCGGGCCAGAGTGCAGGGCCCGGCGAGGCGAAGGCGGCTGCATGCTGTGGCCGTTGGACGAAGGCGCGCTTGTGGCAGGTGACGACTGTGATTGTGTTGTTTGGACGGGCGCACCTGTGTCACCTCCGCCGCCGATGAGGGAGGAGATGGACATGCTGCTTCCCGTGCCCGGTCGCAGCGCCTGGCCTAGTCCTGGCAGCTCTCTGTTGGGGCCAAAGTTGGACGGGTACTGGGCGCGCGGCGGTTGCGATGCATGGGGATGCTGCTGGGTGGGGGAGGATGGGGGAGGCATCTGCGGTCGCGCAAAGGACGGCGGCGGTGGAGGATCGTGGGAGGGGCCTGTCGCATAGTTAGGTCTCGACTCAGCGTGTCGGTGCCATGGGGAAAGCGGGGCTGTACCGTAGGGATTCGGGGGACTGGCGGCGTTGAGGGAGCGTCTGCGGGCGGCATCAAAGCCGTATGTCGCGCTGGCGGACGGGTTGTTTGAGTTTGACATTTGCGGTGGAGGGACGGGCTGGGCGTGGTGAGTTTCGTAGTGTATCTGGCGCGCTAAAGTCAAGGATCAGCACAAGCTTGGACGGCGAGTCGCGACTTTTCGAAAGAGGTTTAGAGGGCCCGCCGATCTTGCATTAGCCAGGAGCCACATGTGCGGAGTGCGCCATGAATTTCGCCAGACCCATGCAGTGCGCAAGCCAAAATAATGGTGTGGCTCGGGAAGCAGCGCGGTGCGGAGCCAGTCGAAACGACATTAGCGAAGAAGCATTTGCCTGCAGTTGT